TTATTTTTAGATTTTATCGAGAATTTTAGCACGCATATGGTGTGTTGGATGCCAATGAGACGCTTTGCGCATCAATAAAATTTTGTACGCCACTGGAACATAGCCACTGGAATATAGCATGATCTCTGAAAGAACGTTGTAGTTTAGCTATAAAAATGGCCTGGAAAAAAAATAATAAAACTCTATATTGATACGGCCAAACTTGAGGCTAATTTCAAAATTTTTCAGCAACTTCTTATAGATTCCTGGAAATTTGAAGTCTCTTCAGTGGCAGCTTCATGTCCCAGTAGCAGAAAGTGGAATAAACTAACAATAGTGCCTTTAGCAATTATTTTTTGGGGAGAGCCCAATTAGCAGAAGAACAACTTACGTTCAATTCAAAAAATCTATAAACTACTTTTGGAAGTGTGCTATTGCCGATCAATGTTACTAAATCGGAAACGAGAAGGAGAGTTACAACGTAATGTATATCAAAATGTTCTAAAGTATCAGTCATATGAGGAATTTGATAATGCGCTTTCACATACACAAAAATTTGGATGAAAAAATTCAAACGGGTTGTAACTAGAGGAAAAAGTGACCGTGTTGTTCCTGTTTTATTTGCAACTGACGTACACAATCATCTACAAAATCTTATTGAATTAAGAGACAATTTTGTGAGAAAAGATAATATATACCTACCTTTTTCCTATATTAAAATATGACACACCTATAACAGGATACAAGGTGATGCAGAAACATGCTAAACTTAGTGGGTCAAAAAATCTAGAAGCGATCACTTCTACAAGGTTGAGAAAACATCTTGCCACTATGAGCCAGATACTTGAGTTATCTCCAAACGATATAGAGCAATTGGCCACATTCATGGACCATGTTATAATTTAGGCCGGCCACACACGTAACGGTATACATGACAGGTAAACCTGTACAGGTCACCTGCGCAGGCAAACCGGAGCGTGTGTGCCAGTCGCTGCAGGCGAAAGTGCACAGGCGAAGCGACCTGCGCCGGTCACCTGACAGGAACGGAGATTTGGTATCTTGTACCTGCGCAGTCGTCAGTTATACCCTAGACCTGAGCGTGTGTGTGAGTACGTCTTGCAATAGGGGGAAGGATGCATGACTAGTAATAACAGATTGAATATATCCAAAGGAGATGCATGAAACACTAGAGCGCATAATAAAAATTATACGGATGCAGAATTTACTAATCCATGTAAAGATGCAGAAATATTGGTAAAATGTTCATTTTCAAAAAAAAAAATTGACAGAAGTATATTTTTAGATTAATCTCAATTAACTGAAATGAACCAATATTATTTCAATTTCATGTAAAAAAAACGTGATATCGTCCATGATTTCTAGTAGACGCCATAATGATGGTATTATAAAATGATGCAAAAATGAACCACGAAGCATTCTTTATCATTCGTAGTATTTTGTTCCATAATCTCTACAACTTGAAGATATCGCAGGTCCACTAGGCACCTGAAACATACCTGATGACATACGTATACATCGTATTATAGATTAAAACCTTGTTTTCAAAGTCGAGTATGGACTTAAGGTTGATCAAGGGTTCATATTTGAAATCTGCCCCTGTATTCTCGTCCTCACGTTTTTGATGTGCAGGGTCCACGTGAGCCTGCGGTCTATCAAAAGACCAAGGTATTTTATCTGCGGTTGCCAATTGATTTCCATTGTAGAAATATTCGCTTTCATGACCGGAGAAGACATCATTTTTTCAATGGTTATTGCCTGAGTTTCATTTGGGTTTACTCGGATCTTCCAATCGAGGTACCAGCGCTCGAGGTCGTCCAATGCGCGTTGCAAATAGACAATTCCGACCTCATGACCCATGGAGGAGATGAGGAGAGCAGTATCATCGGCGTTCAGAGATAGCTTCACACGCTCGGTCCTAGAAAGGTGATTGGTGTACAAGGAGTACCACGTAGGAACTAGCACAGCCTCCTGTGGTACCCAGCAAGGATCTACCTACTATCAGATAGGGAGTTCTCTACTCTGATCTGAAAGGTCCTGCCCTTCAGAAAAGACCAGATCCACCTGATCCAACCACCACCACCTCCAAAGCAGACCAAATAAGAGTAATTTGTGAAGCTGGCTTTCGTGCCAGACACGGTCGAAGGCCTTCGAAATGTTTAAGCCAGCTATCAAGTATGCTTCATGGCTCGTGCAGCTGTCTTTCATTCAGCAGTCCATTCCGTCAAGGAATCGGCTAGAATATGATTGAACACCAGAAAATTAAAAAATACCTACTTCCTACCTCACTGAGACCTTTAAAAATTAGATGGAAGTTCTCAACATTGGTTACACACCACGGGATACCTTAATCAATATCAAAAACAGAATTAGGAGCAGTGAGTCGATTAGGATAAGGGATATCTTAGAACTGCCTGATGTACCCGATCGTGCACTATTTTTTTCAATAAAGGAAATGACAGTATGGTTGAATTAAAAATTGTGCTGCCATATGGCAGTTAGGAGAGAATTTTCCTATCAATAATGAAGTTTTTCATTTTTAGATGTACAGGTGACATCTATGACAATATGTCGAAAGGAAAAGTATTTGAAAAATGAAGGATTTTCATTGTCTAAATTCTAAATTAAATCCTTTTCTATGTTGTGCTCAAGTTTCCATGGAAAGCAGCTACTGTCTCTAGACGTTAATATCGCAGTATTTTTATTTTTGTCAGTAGTCAACAGTCAACATTGAAATCTGAAAGTGAATTTGAAAAACAAAAGATATCAGGAAAAATTTCACTTTAAGTGGTATCGTTATTCTTTTATTTTTATCACAATGGCATCCGCAAGTACAACAAGCGCAAGATCTTTATTTTCAGATTCCAAAATGCGTTTAGCCGATCGTGTTCAAGTTAATGTAAATAACATTTCATCCTTAGCTAGACAAATTACAAGAGGCTCTAAAAGTACAGAGGTATTGAATGTGGACACATCTCTTGAATATTTTATTTATTCAGGTTGTTCTGTATGTTTTAGATCTTGATGCACTCGGCTCGAAATTTTGCTGCTCAGGAACAAGCAATGGAAAACACCGAAAATAATTTGAAAAAACTACAACTTTTGTCTATTCATTTGGGATATCAGCACGATTCCATGTTGAAATCAGCTCTACAACTCGAAGAAGTTAAAGAGCAAGTTTGTGCAATGCAAAGATAGGCATCGTGATTTTTTTTACATTCCGTTATAAGCCAAAACTTGTGCGAGCTCAAGATCAATGAGATCTTACTCATCAAAACTTATGCATGAATTTTTACATTCTGAGAACAATCCTAGTTAATAATAGCACAGATTATAATATTTGAATTTGAGCATGTATCCTGAATGTGAGGACAGATTCCATATTATCTGTAAAAGGCTGGACTGTTCAGGGATCATATGATTCTTCTTGAAAATGTTTAAATAATATAGTCCTTATACTGTCAGTTCTAGGTGGTACATGTGAAAATCTTGGGAAAATGAAAACAATAACTCAAAGTGGGTAATTTGCCAAAAATTCTTATAGGTCATTTATAAATTCAGATACTAATTATGACTGGGATCTTTCCTAACCAAACGCTGTACAAAAAACTGGGACAGGACAACAGAATTTTTTTGTTTCCTGCAAAGATGATAAATTTATGAATGGCTTCTGTGAAATTAGTTTTTTATATTACGAAGGGTCATTTATTTTGTCATGCCATACAAATTAGACTTCTCAAAGGGCATAAATGTAAGGTCCACCAACACCATACGTGATTGAAGCTATCCACTTCCACAGAGTACACTGAGAAAACAATATTGAATGGTTATTTTTAACGTAGGTGTACAATCTTTCTCTATTTTGAGATAGAGAAACAGATTAATTTCTTAGACCTGACCATCACGCATAGTCATAATAAATTTGAGTTCAGTTTATTCAGAAAACCGAGCTATATAGACATTAATTACAATCCCAAGTGATTCTTTTCATCCTGACAGTTATAAATAGCAGCCTACAATTCAATGGTACACAGAGCATTCTGATTACCTTTGCCTATTAACAATCTAGATAGGGAAATTAAAATAATAATACAAATAGGACATAATAATGGTTTCAATGCACAGACAATCCAGAAGTTAGTCAGAAAATGAAGCCTCAAATTTACGTACAGATTAATATACCCCCAGATCAAACAATCAGAAATCAAGAAATTTGTAAGTTTAACATATTTTGGTGAAAAAACAGAGACAATTGCTGGATTTTTCAGAAAAAACAACATGGAAGTAGCATTTAGGCCACATGCCAGGTTATCTAATTTCATTTTTAATGCCAAAGATAAAGTGGACAAGATGGAGAAATCTGGAGTTTATGTGCTTGAGTGTCCATAGTGTAACAATGTTTATGTGGGACAATGTGGCCAAAATTTGTCAAAGCGGTATGCTGAACATGAAAGGTCCTTCAGACTAGGTAAAAATGATTCGATGTTTCGAACCATTCCTTGGAATGCAACCACAAGTTCCCGAATCTAAACGATACAGAAATTTTGCACTATGCATGCAAAGGTTGCAAATTCAATTATTTGGAATCTTTGGAAATTCATTAACATAGGCATTACGGATGTAAACTACTAAATGACCAAATCGACTTTGTCTACTTACCAGTTTTCAGATTAGCATACCCCAATTGTCAGAGATAACAAAATTCAGATACTCAGTCAAGTTAAAGACCGTATGTTATTACCTACAGTGCTGTATAGATATATAAGGGTTAACATTGTTAATTATTTCAGTTAATTGTATTTGTTTGGAAATGTCTTTATAGGACGAAACTGCATTAACGTTAGTTAGAAATACAAGTGATGAAAAAAATATAGGAAGTTTTATTTATCGTTTTCCATAAACTTGTTATCGATGACTTGAAAGTGTACTCCACAATATTAAATCGTGCCTTCGAAGGACCAGTGTATACAGTCAATAAATTTTGTCGTAATTGAAGAAAGAAATACTTTGAATTCCATTTTAATTATTCTTGTTCAAGGTTAACTTGATATTATTATGGTTTATTTAACAAAATCTATTGTACATATATCTAACAGATCTATACTTATGCTGTATAATCCTGCAAAACTTTGAACTGAAAGTATTTAACAAAAAATTCAAACAATCACAGTGAACACCTGCTAAAGATAGACAAAACCAAGAATGGAACAGAAGATGTAAATGTGGCCAAACCTAACATCTTGCGGTAAAGCTGGATTTTTTCATCGATGCCACTTCTAATTTCTGAATATCTTGTAAAAACTTATCGAATATACTTTTAACTCAAATAATTTAGATGAAACAATTTGTTTTTCGTTCGCGATATGTCTCGTCGTTCCTGAAGACTTCTGTCATAATCCCTCTTCAAGAAGGTGGACCTCCTGATGATCCTTCCAACTACAGGTCTATAGCACTTATTATTGCCCATGCAAAAATCATAGAAAAACTGGTCAAAATAAAAATTTGATCATTTTGTTATAACAATAACATACTTACCCCTCACCAATTCGGACTCCAAGAAAATAAAGGTACTAATAATGCAATGTTCTCTCTACTAGAAATGGTTTATTCCCAAATTAATGTTAAAGAATCCCTTGCTGCAATTTTCTGTGACCTATTGAAGGCATTCCACTGTGTCAACCACAAGATACTTCTGAATAAATTGCAGAAGTACAGCTTCAGAGACATCACCAATCAGTGGTTCCAATCTTACTTATCGAACCGCAAACAAATAGTGAAAACATCTGAGCGCTCTTCTGAACAGTCCATTAAATGTGGAGTGCCTCAAGGCTAGATCCTTGACCCAATTCTATTTCTCCTCTTTATAAATGACTTAGCTCTCATAGATATATCAGCCACAATCATCCTCTTTGCTGATGACACAACCTTATTGAGGCACAACAAGGATAATGCCATTCTGCATAAGATTATTTCTGAAGACATCAAAGAAATAAGAGAATGGTGTGACTGTAATAAGTTATCCCTCAATATCAACAAAACCAGCATTCTTACAATTCAGTGCAACTTACCTAAAATCTGCCTTGGTAATGAAAACTTGGAAAGTATACATAGTTAGTTACTTCTTGGGCTGAATTTAGATGATAAATTGAAGTTCAAGGGCCATACAATAATCTTAAGCAAGAAGCTTGCCTCAGGCTATTACACGCTGAGAGCCATCTCTACAGAACTAGGCTATGCCCATTAAGAACAGCCTATTTTGCTCTCATAGATTCTCATTTTAGATATGGAATTGCCTTCTCGGAAGTCTACTCCAGATACTTATTCCAAATAATTTTTGTTCGTCATGTGCAAAGCTGCTTCCCCGGTTACTTGCAAATCTCTTTTCAAAGCTCATGGTATTTTAACAGTAACTTCCTTATACATCTTGAAAACAATCTCTTCAATGAAAAACCACCATCTCCTGTGAGCCACACTCCTCCTCATAATACCCGCAGTCACATTACGAATATAGAACTGCCTATTCCCAAGAGTTCATTAGTTAGGGACTCAATTATTTTCAATGGCATTAAACTATTCAATCACCTGCCAATTGAAATTAAAGAAATCAATGTGTACAGTAAATTCAAAAAAGGTCAAAATGCTTCTGGTTGATGGGGTCTATTACTCAATTCAGGAGTATTTTGATGATACTTTCAACTCCTGATACACTCAAGAACTAATATTTTTATATATGTGTGTGCCGATGTGTGAGTCGATAGTTCAAGCCCCAGGCTGAACGCTCGATTTTCACTTGCTAATGTGCGTTAGGAATCACACGTTAAAAGGTAAGATCGCGTTAGTCCTCAGCTCGCACAAGTTTCGACTTCTGAGGATTGTCGTTCGTATGGGTGCGATAGCTGGTTAACGGAAAAAACATATTTTTTTTAACACGTACTGTTTCTATTATTATATTTTGTCTATAAGATGTATTTTTCTTCTGACAATAAGGTGTTTTTGATTTGATTTGATTGAATTCAGTGTATCTCAAGGTCATACTTAATTGTTCCCGTTCATTCTGCTTCTGAGATAACGTTGATCTTGACTTTCAAATAATTTGAAAGGTCATGATTAAGTTAAAATCTAAGCTCTCTATCAAGTAGTTGAAGAGAAAAACAAACGTGTACATTTTTGTTTGTTTCACTTTTAAATGACCTTCAGAGGTGAACTGTTAGGTCAGGTCATACCTGGCCCTAATTTTTTCCTGTTATTTTCATTTCCTTGATAAAAACATGGGTTCCCATTTGAAAATCTGACCTTGACGTTCAAATAATTTGCACGTACAAATGCAAGGTCATTTTTCATTGTTGTAAGAAAACTTAATGAAAAGTTTTCCGTCATCCAGTCCCGATTTTTTAGCACGATTTCCAATGGACGCTCATCAAACACAACTTAACCTGTTCTCTCCCTTTGAACATCTGAGCTAGGCTCTTACCCTTCGAAGAGTACTCAAAGATATCGTTCAACAATGTGGTAACAAACTAATTATTTTCCATGACCCGGCCTGATTTTGTTTCGGATTATTATTTTATAACTATTCAAATATTTCTTGCTTCTAGGAGAGCAGTTGCCGCCTTCTGCCCCTCGCTGAGTACGTCCATGTGCACTGTGAGCATGGGAATAAATCTTGCAACTATTTTTGATCATTGAAATGTATTTTGTTGTTTTTATTTTTCACTTTTACGCAGTTGGCAACACAGTTAAATAACCTCGCACTGCACTGCACAATATTTTGATTAAAGACATTTTTCAGAAGTTACCGAACGGAACTGAAATATGATATAGCACTTGATTCAAATTATCCGTGTAACATCGTTTTTTATTAGTCTTTAAGCTGTCACGGTAAGGTGAGTAGATTGATTTGGTCCTATAGGAAACTGAAATTCATACAAATACATTTTTAATCTAATATTGAAGTACACTATGCTTGCTTTTCAGAAGTTTATCATCATACTCAAAAAAATGTCTTTATTAACCAAACACCTGAGAAGTTCAATCATGAAGCTCAGCAAAAGAGCTCAACAAACTCAAGCAAAATTACAAGCAACAGCTAATCTGCCCGGTGGGCCAGTTTTCAGAAATGCCCAAAATTTTCCTGATAGAGTTGCCCTCAGAGATCATATATCCAGTTATACATATGCTAACATATATTTGAGTGCCAATGAACTTTCCAAAGAAATTACTCAACTTGTACATGGTCGAACAGGTGAGAGGGTATTGTTTATGTGCCCAAATGATGCCAATTATGTAATAACTCTATGGGCTATATGGATGTCTGGACAAATTGGTAAGTGAACCTCGATTCGCCTAATAGTATAAATTTGTATGCACAAAGTGGTAAAGGATTTTTTTGTGATGGGCAGAGTTATCAGAGATGAGAATCATTGAAAACAAAAAAATTATAGATGTAGCTGTTACTACTTGGTAGGATATCACATGAAAAATGAGAATTGAAACTTCCTATGTTGTATGTTCGTCCTTCTAGGACGAAATTGCAATAACGTAAGTTACATATACAAAGTGGTATAAAAACATAGGAAGTTTCAATTCTCATTTTTCATCATAAACAAAATATGTCACCCTGTATTAGTTTAACAGAATTATTTTTTCCCTGTACTACTATAAGTTCGAAACTCTATTCTACAAAGACTTTTCATCTGCTGAATTAAGAAAATTGAGAGAATTGATTTAAAGTAACATCTATTCATATCTACCTATCTGGGTAAACCTAACTTCATCTATACTTATTTTTATTTATCTCATACATTAATAACGTAGGAACTGGGATTGCTTACTCCAACTGTACTTATTGCAGATGATTTGAAAAATAAATGTGATTATATTTTACTTGTAGCTTTTAATTTCATCTGTAATGATCTTTCTCATTTCTCAGAAAGCTCGAATCATTTGTTTTCATAATGTTTTACATAATATGTAACCTCTAAAATTAAATATGTTTTTATAAAGTAATAAGGTATAATTTTTGGCCATGGTCTGCAGGTTTTTATGCCTGAAGTTTCATCTATTACTGCTGTAGTGCTCGAGTAGTTCTCTTTGTTGAGAACTATTCGAGGACCTCGACCAATACCTCATCCCCTCTGATAATGTCAGTAGACAAAATGACAAGCATAAATACCTGCAGACCACGGACAAAAAAAAAATGGAAAATAGATTTGACAAGTTATCTCTGGCCATGAGTGCTCACATTCTTTGATCTAAATTGTCTATTTACGAATTATCGATCTATGATTTCAGTAACATAAACAGTTTCAAATCAAACAAAGATGTACGTATTATAAATACTCTTTGGAATAATGAAGTCCAAGCCCTAGTTCCTAAGCTAAAATCACTGGAAATTATTGTGGATCAAAATACTTTCTGCCCTTTCTACATTTGTATTTATTTGTAAATTTAATATTCTGATTAATTTATAGATCTGTAGAAGGTAACAATTCTAAATAATAAAAAACTATTTCAAATATAAATTGTCCTTCCCAAAATAAAATATTGAAATAAAATTAGTTTTCACCATATTTTAATTATCTTGTCATATAGAATATATCAGTGGAAAATGTATATTAATACCCCCAGTCCGACGCCTATTAATATTATCTCAAATGTAATATCAGAAAAAACATCGAACGGTTCTTTTGGCGGTATTTTCGCATTCTTTGTCGGTGTTTTCGCGTTCTTTGTTGCATATCCCTATTTTAATGGCTAGTTAGCAGCGTAATCAAGGGATATAGATAGAGGGTGGACATATCTCAATGATTTTGTGGGTGAATTGCAGTGCTATTTGCTTGAGACGACTATGATGCTTTCTTTGATGTAGCGACATGTTTGCATTCTTGAAATTCTTTTACTCTCAGACAATACTGAACGAACTATACTCAAGAATTTTTTATATATTGTCCAGGAGTTCTTTTATCAAAGTATGAGTAGTATTCGTAAACAATATTGCTTTCATTGTATGTAACTGCATTTTCTGGTTAATGCATAAATGCATGTTGATACATCAATAATAATAATACAAACATCTCACTGATATTTCAATTCTCTATCCCATATTGATTTTATTTGTCGAAATCGGACCAGCCATTCTTGAGTAATATTATTCAAACCTTATTCAAGTTTATCCCAATAATTGTTGAGGAATGTTTCACCATTATTTTTCTCACAATAATGAAGTCTGTTTATAAACTCTATCACTCTAATGCAGAGAGTTTCCTAATTTGAAGATATGGTTCATCAGTTATATGTCGACAAAGGCCACATCCATCTAACTTAACCCATCCTAACCCCAGCTAGTCCTCCACATCATCAACATTCGGATTTATATTGGATTTACTGAAAGTGGTAATGGAATAATTTATAAAGATGAATTAATTTTAAATTATCTGAAAAGCTTATTAGTGTTTGGGGTGATCATCATATCAAATTATTTTATTATGTATTTGAGATAAGTATGTAAATGTTTGATATGTTTAATTATAAATTTGAATCAGATGAGTATGTTTGGTTTATCTGATTGAATTTTTCAGCAACAGTAGATACGATGATAATTACACGCTAAATATTTTCATTTTTCGTTATTTGAAGTAATAATTATTTACAGTGGCTTAAATTTCACTCAGAAAATTACAACTTGATATTTAAGACCGGCAATGCAATAAATCATTGAATTTGAAGAAATGTTTTTTGTAGAGAGTGTTTTAGAGTGTGTACTGATAAAATGAGAAGTAACTTTTTGAATACTCCATTTCATTTATTGAATATTTGAAGATTGTTTGACTGAAATAGAAATTCAATCAAATTAACATACTTCTGATTAAATGGGATAAATCAATAAGTAAAATCAGCATTATAACATTTTTTATCATAGAAGGGAGGTGGTTACTTTGAAAACAGCATCTAGATTTGGTAAATTTATTTTTTCACAGTGAAATTTACAGTACTTTTAGAATATTCCTTGTGCCACATAAATAAGAATAGGTATTTTTTACTATTTCAGTGTTAAAAATTTTCTAACTAAATGATATCCTGAAAAATAAAAAATAATATTTGTAACTAACAACTATTTGTAACTGACATTACTGCAGTTTCGTCCTTTAAGGATATTTTCAAATTAATATAAAAAACTGTAATTCAATACAATAAACTGTAATTCAGTTTATTTTATTAATTTCAAAATGTCCTTAAAGGATGAAACTACAGTAACGTCAGTTAGAAATATAAGTGTCAGACAATTTAGGAAGTTTTATTTCTCATTTTTCGTTTTCAATAATCTTGTTATCGATGTCTTAAAGTTGTATTTCACAATATCAAATCGTGTCGCTCAAAGGACCAATGTATTAGTCAATAATTTTTGTCGTAATTGAAGAAAAAAATACTTTGGAATCCATTTTAATTATTCCTGTTCAATGTCAACTTGACATTACTATGTTTTTTTTTAATCTATTCTACATAAAAAATCACTGATCAATATATCTAACAGATCTATACAAATAAAAGTGATGAAAAACATAGAAAGTATTATTTCTTATTTTTCATGATGATCTCCTACCACATAGTAACGTAGTACATCCATCAATTTATTAAATAAAATCCCTCCGATAATTCATTTTCTGTACATTCATCTCCTAGTAGGAAGAAATTTTAAAGATCTGTGTATTAATATTGTTAATTTTTTGTTTTGTTGGCCCCCTTATATGCTCATGAATGCATGAGTCAAAAAAAACAATAATAAGTTACAATTGTTAATTTTTATGGAAATAACAAAAGTTTATCTCAAGATATAGGAAGAACAGTATACTTATCTGTTATACATTGACTTCTTGAGGTTATTTGAAAGTGCTTCTGTGTTGTCAAGTTGTGTTTATAAATATATTTGCTAAAATTAAAGGCGCCTATTCAGATACGTTTTAGTAGTAGTCACATGATGTTTGGAATGTAAAAGAAAATTTGTTCTAATAATACTTGTCATATACTTCAACGATTTTGTCAAAAAAGTGTTTTTTACTCACTGAATGACTTCAGCTCTCTATGAATAACAAATTTTGATTTATTGTCCAATCATATTGTTATCCTATAACCTTTTTTTGGTATTCAATATCAAAGTAAGCAAAGTTGAGCTGACATTTATATAGTGTATTTCCTGTTTCATTGTGATTGATATGGTAGATGAAGTTTCAGTTTGGTATCAAATTTTACCGAAATTATTCATTCAAGTCAAATTACAAAACTTCCTGGCTGATAAAAATTGATCAAAAGTACGGAGATGTTAATTTGAATTCATGCAGATTTATACCAGTTATTACCTAGAAAACATTTAAGATAGTTTGTATAGATGCAGAGTTGAGATTTAGAGAAAGTTTAAATGACAGAAATTAACTTGTGGTCTGAAAGCGTGGGTAGAAAAATCAAATATCAGAATTTTGAAAAAAAAAATGAGGTAACATAAATTGTGTTGTTTTCGTGAAAAAAATCCATAATTTTGCATATAATTTTGTGTGTCTCTTATTCTCGGTGGACTATGTTTAAAACATTGCAAGCCATTTAGTTATCATAACTATTTGTATTTCTTACCTCTGAAAAGAGAGCCGGTTCATTACCACTTCACCATATTTTGTACAAATTTACTTACATTGAATCAAAAACTTAATTTTTATGTATTGATTTTCTATAGTGTGTGCCACACCCTGTTATTTTGGAACCCATGAACCGATTTTCAAAAATAAAAATTCAAATTACTATGACCTGCAGAAGGGGTCGAAATTTCGAGAAGGGCCATTAGGCATTTTTTTATTGGAAAATTGAATAGCCCATTCGATTCGGGAATATTTCAAACCTCTATATACAAGTTTTAGCCCAATATCTCATACAGTGACTGACCCTATATAACAAACTGTACACTTCAAAGGAAAGGAAGTAGTCATTGAAAGAAAGAAAGAAATAAACTTATTGACCTCAAATTACAATTTCTGTTACATTTGAAAATATCTGCAATAACAAAATTTGCTTAGGTACGTCATACTGAAAATATAAAAAATATACATACAATATGCAAGGAAAAATCTCACAATACAAAAGTTATGACTCATAATACAAAAGTTATGACTCACAATATATATACACACATACTCACATATACACACACATATATAGAACCACTGACAATTGAATACCTCATCAATCTTATAGAAAGAGCTTGGGTGACAAGTGAATTTTTAACTTTGAACTTCAATTCTTTTATATGAAGGTTTTTCCACTCACCAGGCAAAGTGTTATATATTTATGAAATGAGAAACATGAAATATTCAAATACGAAGTTTTATCATCAAAAATCAAAAGTTGATAATGTTTTATCTACATCGTTTGATTTTTTGTTATAATAAATAGTCTCAATCAACGATGACCCCTTTATATGCTTTTTTTAAACATTTGACTCAACCAGATGACAGATTTTGGCAAATTTCTCATGATTTAATTTCATACGGGATATTCATATGATTAGGTCAATAAGCCAGGCACTGTTTTTCACAGTTTTTCATAATTGCTTCAAACCGAAAATCATACACACGTTAGAAAGAGATGATGGGAAACGAAGGTTGGAATTCTGTTTATTCTGCCAAGGTGAATATTTGAATAATAACTTTCTGGGTAATATTCTCCTCACCGATGAGGCGACATTTACCACTAACAGTACAGTGTCCACTCAGAATTCCAGTTACTGGGCAAGGGAGAATCCACACTGAATGATGAATGCAGAAAGATAATATTCACAAAAAGTCAATGTCTGGATGGATGGAAGGAACATCCCTTTTATTTGTTGGCCCTCTCGATCACCAGACCTGCCTCCATTAGATTTTTTCTGTGGGGATATTTGAAAGAAAGTGTTTATAGAAATAGATCAAGAAATTTGAACGAATTGAAGGACGGGATAAGGCAAAAGTGTGGTGAAATAACACCAAGCCAATTGAGAAAACCCCTGCCAGAATTTGAGACGACGTTATGAAAAATGTATAGAGCTTGAAGGAGGATATATTGAAAACTCCAATATCGGGAAAAACTTCTATTTATCATTTAATTTATTTCTGTTGTTGGTGATTTTTATAAAATTAAAAATACGTTTTCAACTTTTGATTTGTTGATATTAATTAAACTAGAGACAACTCCATGAAACAATTACAGCTGAGTATGCGAAGTATTATTCCATGGAATGGTTACTTCATCTTTTCTGTAAAGTTTATAGACTTTCTTACTGGGTCAGTCAAAAAATCATGGATTTGGAAATTTGCCATCATATACCTAACACCCTGTATGAGATATTGGGCTAAAACTTGGAATCTAGATGTTCGAAATATGCCCAAAACGATTGAGGTATCTACTTTTTTATAAAAAAAAACCTAATGGTCCTTGTCGAAATTTAGACCCATTTTGCAGGTTATAGTAAGCCTTGAAAATGAGAATAATTCATATCTGTCAACATACTTGGATAGAACTCGTCGAGTATCATAATTTGAAATTGTGATTTTTCCAAATTGGTTCATGGGTTCCAAAATACCAGGGTGTTGCGGTTTGAAATCGCACACACTATATAACATATTTTATTCTTCATATTGTCGAAAACTAAAAGTGCAAGTTTAAGTGGCTTATACTCGTATACTTAACAACAACGAAAAACCAGAATCAATCATTGTAGGATTTACCCGCAAACTGAGTAGGCTGGGCCTAAGCCAGCAGCATATTTGGAGCAAAAATTGTTTTTATATCTTACAGCAATTGAAAAGATATATTCATATACCTAAATATTAGGGCTATACAAATAATTCAACATTTAATGTGTTTAATCTCTTGAATACATTTTCTACGGTTTATGTAGTCGTATTTGGTTGTGATGTGAGAATGGGTGGAATGACTATTTACTAAATGACAGGTCTCAAATTGAGACGCAGTCTGGTGAGATGTAGCAGGGTGACTAACGGTGATTTCTGCGGGTAAAAATGCTGGTGAGTAGTAGTGAGTAGTTTTGAAATGGCCATTAATGCACCACTACTGATCGACTTCAGTTCAGAATCAGAAAATGAGTGTGAGATCGAAAAGACAGTTTCAAATTATCTGGTGGAGATGATTATCAAAACATTTGTATCTGGAGAAAAGAAAAGCTGCGATACACAGGATCTCGTTTACCCTTGTAAAAAAATACGAGATTAGAGAAAAAGAGGGCCAAAAAAAATACTAGGGTGTTTCACAACCATGCCATGTTTTGAAGGGAAATTTGGCACGATTTTGATCTTTTTAGGAAATTGGTAGGTTTGCAACAAATACTTCTTAATTTTTCCAACATCAAAACTTCTTAAACTGCTGAATTTTTCATTCATTTTTTTGAAGAAACTTTGTGAACTTTGTAACATCTAACGTCAGATCACTAATGTTTAACGACATTTTCTTCAGAATGTTACAACGTCAGTAATGTGACATTCTAATGAACAATGTCTTTTATTAACTGCAGTGATCTGACATTAGGATAGATCCCCTAAATCTGCAAAAAGGGCCTATTTATATTCAGATGAATTCAGTAAGATATGTTTTGATCTATCAAAATTGCCATTTGCCAATTCACGATCGAAGGGTTTGACTAATACTCAAGCTAAAAAAATAAATTTTATTTTTATCATGAGTTTTCCTTTCAAGCATCTTGGTATGCGATTAGAGCAAAAATATCAACAAGTACCTAGATGAGATGTGTGAAAAGGATTCAATCAATCAATTTATTCATTGTAAATGAAACATTACAACGTCGTTATTTCCTTAGTATTAAAATTAAAATACATATACACAGAGATGCACAGATCAAAATAAGTATTTCTCAATAGGTCATGAATCTTACAGAAAAACTTTTCTCAATTTTGACAGTGTGTTCGTACTATGTAAAAGACTAGCAGCAGGATGTCATGCAGTGAGAGTTGTTGCAAGAAAGTTAGACATTACTATCACAAGATCAGTTTATTTTGCACAAATTGAGTCCTATTTACGTTATGGAATTTGTTTCTGGGGAAATTGTGCAAAATTTCGTTTCAATATGGTATTCTCTCTACAAAAAAGATCCATCAGATATTTATGCAAGGCTAGCTACAGGGATTCATGTCGCCCATTATTTGTGAAGCAAACAATTCTGACCTTAGTATGTCTTTTTATTTTGGAAACAGTGTTTCTTATCCACAAAAAAATATAAAAATCAATTTAGTAACACCTCAACTTATAGTACGCGTCATTCTTACTCCGTTTCCCTTCCCACACCTTCTCTAGCCCTTACAAATAATTCTATTATTTTCAATAGCAAGAAGTTATTTAACCACCTTCCTGTTAATTTAAGGTGAATATATAATGAAAAGAAATTCAGAAAGAAAGTGAAAGAATTCCTTGTTGGGAGGCCCTACTATAGTGTGGACGAATTGTACCAAGGCTCTATCGAGTAATTGGCATGTAGCTTTGTGTAAACAAGTTATTGAAACCAACACGAAATGGCTATCAATGTTCATTATGTAGCATTAAAAAAACTAATAGGTAATTAATTTGTTTTGAAATCAGTATTATTGTATTGCTTCAGTTTATGAATTTTTTTTCTGAATATTACTGGAGTTTTATCCCAACACCTCGACACGTATTTCTATCACCAAGTGATCATCCTCAAGAGAAAGTTTAATCTTCCTCTTGAATAACTTAGTAATCGAAACACACAGTGCATCACAATAACTTTTTTCTGTTCATGATAAATATAATAATTGAAAAAAAATATTTCCGTAGGTGTTGTTTTGTCACACAAAAACCTCCAGTTTCAAATTTCTACACTAGTTGATGCTTGGAAATGGTCTTCAAATGATGTTATACTACACACGCTTCCTCTTCACCATGTCCATGGAATAGTTAATGCTCTTCTATGTCCCCTTCATATTGGCGCAAAAACCATAATGTTGAAAAAATTCAATGCCAACAACGTATGGTCTTATCTCTTGGGAATCAATGCCAAACCAGAAGATAGAAAAATATCAGTTTATATGGCAGTACCGACAATATACAATAAACTCATTGAAGAATATGACAGAGTGTTCAAGGCAGATAATAAGATGGTAGAGTACATAAGGAACACAATGAAAAATAAAATCAGATTGATGGTTAGTGGCTCGGCTGGGCTTCCTGTTCCAATTTGCGAAAGATGGAAAGAAATATCCGGACATAGACTGCTGGAACGGTAAGAAGAAAGTGTCGATGTATACAATTCAGAAATTGACTTCGGGGTCCCTATAAATAAAAAAAAACATATATTCAAATATATTTCATTCATATGAAAAGGGGACAGTTGCCTTCTAAATTTCAACATAATTATGTACAATGATTCAACTGATTTTAGAAAACTATTTCAAATTTTGTCGTTTTTTGTTTTTACATGTAATCGCAACGTTTGTCACTCACAATTCTTGGTGACTTTTGAAACAAACTTTTAGGTAACTGCATGAAATGGAAATGGTTGAGTACATTTACAAGCGTTGATAAAATTATTGTTTGAGAAAGCTATTGTATAGCGAAACACGTGTCACGGTTTTTGTAGAACCCTTGATAGTGAAAAACATACAATAAACTGTATTAATAAGTGAAAAAAAGGTTCACTGAATGCAGCTGAAATTGGCTCTTGAGACAAGTAAACAGTTAAGATAAAAATATCAAAAGCTGATAAACATTCATGACTTTCAGTTCTACATTTAATTTTGGTTAGTGTAGAATTTAGGCAAAGTGCACTAAGGTCTGAGAATTGTAATGAAAGTTAGTGTTATTGGCAACATTGCTAGTAACACATAGATGAAACAAATTAAATTGTTTGATTGGAGGTAGCTTATTCATTGTATATAAAATTATTTATCATTATTTAAGAAATAAACTTATCAGTAATGATCAAATATACTCCAATGTATAATGGATATGATTGAACTTTATCTACTTCTGATAGTGCGAATGGAATCCATTCATTAAGCAAGACTTGATTAACATTCCAAAAATTTGTGGATTTTTTTCATGACAGTATACATTTTATGACTAAAAATATTATATAATGATTTATTCTCTTTTATGCTTATTGTTTCTGAATTGCCCCTGTATATTATATCTTATATTTATTTGTGAAGTCTCCTTTCAATAATTTCACCATGAAATGTTCAATTCATCACTCTACTAATGAAGTTTCATTTGATATTTTGCCTTAGTCTTCCTCATTATAATTTGGAATTGTTCCATAATTTTTTTATATTTGATTATATTTATATTGATTATATTTTACCCGAATAATCAGGCAGTCAAAGTTGTGAATGATTTACAGATACGGTATGACAGAAACGGGAATGACATTATCACATGTTTATGAATCTGATCGGGAACCTGGTAATGTTGGAATACCTTTACCAGGTGTCTCAATCAGGTTAGTTGAGGATGATGAGAATAGTGAAGAACTGAAGACCATTTTAGAGTGTTCCAACGTTGATGGAGAACTTAAATTCACTGAGAAAGTTTACAAAAGCGAAAATCATAAAGGTGAGATATTGATAGAGAAAAGAAATAAGTATACTGGAATATAGAAGAAAATAAGAATATTTTGATGCAATAGAAGTTAATTATTTATAATTTAATTCAAATTTTATTTTAATTTAGAGGGGAACTTTTTCAAAGGCTAAGAGGAATATTTTCATTCCAACTACTTGCTTATGTTATTATTACTTTGCATTTACATTAAATTTACTGACCACTATAAAAAAATTATTTAACTGAATCGAACACTTTCCTGGGTAATGGACAACCTTGTAACAATATTTCACTAATCACAAACTAATTCATTCACAACACTTAGCAACTAACGCTTAATTTATGTCCACTATTTGAATTTCTTGTTTAGCCGCTCGATTCACTTTCTGAACTGCCCTCTTGGGTCGGGAAGACGTGCTTATATCGGTAACGGTTTGGTCTTAGAATTTTATCGGCGATTCCCGACTCCATTCTTTTACGGTGATGTCATGTGTTTGTTCCATGATTCGGCCGGCGTACTTCAGATTCGTTACAGTATGTTTCAGCATACCAAGAGTATATAGACCCTTTAAAAATAAAGTCTATTGTAGAAACTATATATTATATAATTATTCACCACCTTTTAGCTCAAAAATGTTTGTTGATCACATTTATTTTTTATGATATTTAATTAATTAATGAATAATTCAAATTAACCAAATAAAAATCGCAACATATTGCAACTTTATAGGTCGATGGTGTTCAAAGGAAATTTTCATAAAAATTTGCATCAACTCATTATTGATGAAGTGGATTCACTCATTTATTCTGAAACGAATTTAATTGCTATTAGAATGCCAGGAGTGACTCATAAGTGACAAAAAACTAAGACAAACATAAGAATGTCAAATATTCACTTATCAACATTATGATGAAATATCCTCAGAATTGGGATTTTTACTTTTTCATCTGTCTACAAAAAATATTAGAAAGTATCAAAGAAAGAAAGAAAGCAATTAATTTCAGATTTATACTGGAAAAAACCCTCCTGAAATAACTACTTTCACATGAAAATTAAATAACATGAAATGAAAAGTTTTTTTTCAATACGATTACTTTCATACGATCATTGAATTAAATGAAAAACAATTTTTTCCATTTGATCTGTTCTTCAAACATTCCATATGCAATTGAAACAGATATCATTAACATTTCACTACACAAAGAGATAAATGGAGGAATATTGATAAAAAATTTCACTTACAATGGAAATCCAGCATTCTCAAGGTGTACTTCTCAAAATTTCGGATTGAAAATGCATTGCTTCGAATACCTTATCAGTACCTATTTGAATTTTTGAAGTCGAAAACTCGCGCATTTTTTGTACAACATTATGTATTTATGTCACCAGGTGACAGGCTTATCTCCCGATGACAGTATGTAAAACATTCATACAGTTATTTGATTTTGTTCCCAAAAACTAATATCTCCTAAAAAGTATGCCACCTCTCCATTTGATCTCAAAATCCACTGTTTTGAAAAATACTTCATCAACTCATGTGTCATTTGGGGTGAAAACTTTATATCGATTTTTTCAAAGGTGAAAGTCTAAAATATTTTCTCATGATTTCAATCAAGTACCTGCCAAGGTCTGTAAAGAACATTAGGTCTTAGTACTGTAAGGTATTTTGCAATAAATTACCGATTTTCTTCATTGTCAGGTGAGCTGCTCGTGAAGGGTGATGGCATTTTCAGAGAATACTACAATCGTCCTGAGGCAACTCGCAAAGAATTCACCAATGACGGCTGGTTCAAAACTGGAGATATTTGTGAGTATTTAGCAGAAAAAAAAGTATTCAAAATTGTTGGAAGGAAGAGTGTCGACATTATCAAATCAGGGGGTTACAAATTGAGTGCCCTAGAAATCGAAGCAAAGCTTCTGTTACATCCTGACATACAAGAATGTGCCGTCGTGGGATTAGAAGATGAAACATGGGGTCAGCAAGTAGCTGCGTTTGTTGTACCAAAGCAAGATAAGGAAATTACCTTAGAAAATCTTCGAAAGTGGTCAGAGGATAAGATGCCCAAATATTGGGTTCCCAAAGTATTGAAAATAATGAATTCTATACCAAAAAATGCAATGGGGAAGGTTAATAAGAAGGAATTGGCGAAATCTTTTTCATAAGGGAACAAAAACTTGTGCAATAATGATTATCAGTGCCATAACTTTTGTATTACAACTAGGCACCAGGAAAACATACTTATTATTTTGAACATTATAAATTGTGGCATTCATGACTGTTGAGTGGGGTAATCGATGATTTTCAAGACTGTTTTGTAATTCAAATTTCAAGTCGAGTGATTGGAAAGTATTAAAAGACTTGTTTTCTACAATGAAAATTGTTTTTGTTATTAAAGGTTTGCCATTTCCCTCCATTAAAAATATACAAAGCATCTAACCTGAAACACACACATAGAATATCTCCGGAACTGGATAATCTATTTCAATTTTGCAAATGCTAGTTGCTTAACAGGAATGATGATCTCAAGAGCCAATTCAAATTTTTTGATATTAAGTACAGCGCTGTAGCTCAAATTTTTTTATAGCAACAACTGTCAAATATGTGTATTTGATAAGACATTGAATTTTCATCATACTAATATAGTTATGATTATTTGATCTTTTTTCATATAACTTGCTGTTTTAAAGATGTATAGAATTCAAGAATTTTCTTCTAAAAATTTAAACCAACTGTTGACAAAAATGGTTTTTGAATTGATGCAGAAGATTCCTCTCATGAATTATGAATGAAAATTTTTGTAAAAATACACCTTTTTCGAAATACAGGGTGCTGAAATTCAAAAATTGATTTTTTTTCTCATTCAGAACTTCTGAAATATTAATTATTTCTACATGAAATTCTAGGTATTACCTTACTGTATATGGCATTATTTTTCAGAAGTAATATCATGTTTCTATCAGCAGCCACTGGCTTACAGTAGAAGTAGTTGATCCCATTTATACTGTAATTTTTTATGCCACTGGTCTGTGCTCAAATATATTTACATATTTAGAGTCAGCGCCGTCTTTGGGGAAGTAATAACTACTATTTAGTTGTTTACAATACAAACAAAAAAGGTAAAAACAAGCAAAATAGCATAAGACGCTCAGGTTATTTATTATGTTGTTAACCCTTCGCCACTCGCATACATTTTTTCCCCTTAGTCACTTGCTCATTAAGAGCTGGCATATTAACCGAGCTCAATGTTGCCAAATTTTTCTTATTTTTAAATATAAATTGAAAAAATTCTTTGGTGAATGATTTTAAGTTGAAATAAAAATAAATTTTAATTTCTGTAAAATTGTTATAATTCTGAATAATATTTCTAATTTTTACACTGTTAAAATTACAAAAATAACTTTATAACACTTAATTTACCCTTTTATAAGTTTACATAGTGTTCAAAACATATATCTGTTAAACGATTAGCATTTGTATTCAAAGTCAGTTTAACTTGGAATAAAAGTTCTGGCTTTCATGGTAATTTTTAAAGTAAATTTTGTTGGCTATTTGAGGCACCTGTAAGGTCCAAACCTGTTCAGGTTTACTAAAATAACGTTTGAATATGAAAAAATATCAATTTTAGAGGAAACCACGAAAACAATATTTTCGATATGGTTTTATTGCCTATTTTTTGAAAAGTTGGTTTACCACTAAACTCTCGACTGAGTCAATAATCGTATTTTCAACAACTTCAGAATGAACTGTACACTGTTTCTTTCTTTAATTGTCTAACACCTTGTATCATGTTCCATTGGATTTTATTTTAAATTTGTGATGCTGGAACACCTGAAATGAAGATTCATAATTCATAGATCAAAACACTTACTGGTAGGTATATAATCAAAACAAATAACTTACAAATACTGTTCGAAATTATCTCATTTCATTTGTAACTTTGACGAGAATTCATTTACTGAAAGACTTGCATGTGGCAATAATTGTATTCTGAAAATCAGTCATATTTTCAATCGGTGTCTGCCATCCCATTTCTATTGATCGAACATTTCAAATACTTATTTATACCCTCTGTTACGTAACCAACGTAAATTTATTCGCCACCAGTAATGGCAATTATGCTATTTATCATATTGTGAAAATGACTTTCATCACTCCAAATAATATTTTTTAATATACTTTCTATTCTAAAAATCGGAAAATCTAATATTTCCAATTTGTGGACGAGTTTTACTTCACAAACATGTAATTTTTTCTCTCAATATCCTACTGCAAGACCTTCTTGAATTCTCAGTTTTGATTCCTATTTCTTCTAGGCGTATCTCTGGGTCATTGAACATATTGAAGAACGAGCTGTGTTGTGAACAAATCATTAAAAAACTATTGAAAATTCTTATCCTTTCTCTACCAGTACCTTAGTCATTATGCTTATCAATATTTGTCAAACTATTGAAATTCATGAACTTTTCGTGTTCAAACATTAGTGTTTCTACCATGGGTATATATCTACTATGAAAAAAATGAGCCAGTGTTCTGTTGATAATACTATATCATGATAGCCAAAGCTTTCCAACAATATATTTAGTTCATTAATTTTATTTCTTATGGATTGAATATTCAGTAGCATAACTTGAAAGTCTCTTGTTGAATTTCTAAAAAAGAAGCTATAAGATTATTTTTCTTGTTTGACGGTACTGGATACGCTCCTCTGAAATTATTGTCATTCTGGTCATCATCATCATCTCCACTCTTTTACTCGGCAATATCATTTGGGTTGTTCCACTCGTTGCTCAACTCCAGGATTGTTTCTTATTTTCGAGAACCCATTTCCATATTAAATGTACTTCTTCCTCTGTCTCTTTTAGCAAGTCAAGTATCGATTTGCCTATGTTATTACACTCCAAAAGAGACTTGTTCACTTTTAAGATAATCATTTTTTTTATAATTTGCAAATTATTTTTGTATATCACTTGATATATATTCAAGTCATATTTATGAGTTTCCGAGATTATCATGCTGAAATCTTGCGAGAAAGTCTTCCAACAGTGCGGTAGGGATATTACAACCATATCTTTTTTGGAAATTTTTTTTGCAAAAGTGGTTGCAGTATCTATAAGTTACTCATCACCAGCATAGGGTTTTACAATAGATTAAACAGAATATTCTTTTGTTAAGCTGGTCAAAATTTCCACCATTCCCTCACCTAAAAATAATTAATATTTTTCTTTTTTTTTATTGCTAGTTCCGTTTTTATACTCATCGACCTGAATCTGTTTCTGCATGTTGTCTGTTATTATTTTTCTTCTCTTCTTTGATTGACGACTTGTTTATTTTGTCGAAATTCATGTTCACTGAGGATACACTACAAAAACACACTTTTGTCTATTTTCCACGATATTTCTTTATTGTTGACTAGTTTCGGCTATTACACCATTTTCAAAACTAACTGATTACCCCCCCCATGCCCCCTCACGGGTGAGTGCCCTGAAGTAGAAGCTTTCCCCCCAGCTAGTTAGCGAGGAGAACCTACTACCCCACTCCATCCACCCCCGCTCTCCGAGCGGTCCTCAACTTACTGATGGGCACTTCAGCAAGATTGACATCAGACCTCTTTTTGGTCGAAAGTCAGCCTTTAGGTGCTATTCTTTCGCGATCAAACTGATTACATTTAAATCTGATAGTTGCCTATCCTATCATAAATAATTTGGTACCTACTTTTTGTATACCTGTAATATCCATGAACATAACAAAACAAAGCTTTTGATATAATGTAGGTTTTGGGAACTGGATTATAGATTCAGGAGCGGACTATTATTTAGATCAAGTTGTTCATTGAGGACAATAGAATTGGGATTTTTCTTTGACTTGTTTATTTCCATAGATTCCAACAAATTCCTCATTTTCCCTTTTTCGCATATGTGAAGGAACTTTTAATTATCTCTTTCTATTTTATGTTTCGAATTTTGAAGATGTTCATACATAAATGATTTTTTATGTCATACATGTCATTTCGGATATGTCATACATATCATTTCGGCCGATTAAGGGTTAATAGCCAAAGTTACCTAAATCGAAACCTGTTGCCAATGCATTACAATGAAGACTATCCATATGTAAACATGTACGAATCATATGAAGAGAATTATTTCAGTTATTAAAGATAATCGCGGTAACACAGACAGGAAAAATCAGAATATTTTAAACATTTCACATAGAAGAGCAGCTGCTATATTGGAACTGATTTGCAAATCCCGCGCACTGCAAGTCGCCAACAACATAGATCCAATCAAACGTTTTTCTAAAGAACATTTACCAGCTTTTAGTTTAATGTCGCTACATCCCAGTTCGACATTAAATATGAACATGAAGTGGAATTATGGTACAAGTTGTGGAAAGATGAAGGTAAACAAAATGAAGATCTAAAAAAATCTGACTTTACATATGTGTTAAAGGAGGCGGACACTTTTTACCATTATATCGTTGGCACACCCGTGAACAACGAGCAATATAGACCTTGCGACGTGTAAAAACGTGGTTGAGGTCTCAATATGTATAATCATATTCCTGAAATGCGTAGCAAACTGTACTGAATTTCGAAAATCAACAAAGGATTTTCTTATCGAGAGGCCCTATTATAGTTTGCAAGAATTTTATAACCATACCTTTTAATCATATTTTATACACATATTTGTGTTTTTATACATTATTTTGACTGTTCAGCTGGACCTAATATTGATCTGTCCATATACTCTGCTCTTGTCTCTAAGCATTATTTTATAGTTTATATTTGTTAATTGTCTCATATACATGTTTTACTTTACTAGACTTTGCCAGTAAGATGTTCATATCTTGGGTATATTTTGATTTGATTCGATTCACATTAATAATAAATTATTTTTAAAAAAATATTTTTGTATTAATTCGAATTATAACTAATATCTGTTCTACGTTCAGTCGAAGTATTTAAATGATAGATAACCAAATCAAGGTATCGATTTTATATCATTGATCTGCAGTTGAAGTATAGTTATCCCATAATGCCAAAAATCGCCTGTTTTTCAATTTCGATGTATGACTCTAGCGAATCATGATTTAAAACCATAAAATCAATAATATCACTTGACCGCTCTTAAAAAATTATCTATTATAATTTTTCTTCTACTTGTTTCAAATATATAGGTTTGTATTTATGAATATCTCTGACGTTTCAATCACCACCCGGAATCACATTGTTTTTCACAGAACCTTTGATAAAACTTGGATCTAGATTCAGTAGTGACTGAGAACCAAACTTACAATGGAATTCTGGAAGATATTCAACTCATTGTTTTTCAGCTATTCTGATAATTTACTCTTCGAACGATTGAAATCTCTTCTGAATATTTATTATGGTAATAATTTGTATCTCCTCCTTTTAGCCGTTCCCCTCAGTCCTATGCACCCGAAAAACATTCTTCTCTACTATGCCAATGATTGTGCATCCAAGTTAATCATAACTACATCAGAATATGCCGACTTGATGCAAAAAGTGTCAAAGAATACACACAATCGCATGCATGTCCTTGATGAAAAATTGAAGCTTAATTGTACACAAAAAGTCACTACCTCTCAAAATGATTTGGAAGGTGGACTGCCCTTGGAGTTTTATGATAACAACAATGCCTTGATATTATACACCAGCGGAACTACTGGATCACCGAAAGGTAATGATAGTGTTTTTAGATTTCGTTTTTCCATCATTAGTAGATTCTAATGAAAGTAATCAATATATATATATATATATATATATATTGTTTTTATATCTTACAGCAATTGAAAAGATATATTCATATACCTAAATATTAGGGCTATACAAATAATTCAACATTTAATGTGTTTAATCTCTTGAATACATTTTCTACGGTTTATGTAGTCGTATTTGGTTGTGATGTGAGAATGGGTGGAATGACTATTTACTAAATGACAGGTCTCAAATTGAGACGCAGTCTGGTGAGATGTAGCAGGGTGACTAACGGTGATTTCTGCGGGTAAAAATGCTGGTGAGTAGTAGTGAGTAGTTTTGAAATGGCCATTAATGCACCACTACTGATCGACTTCAGTTCAGAATCAGAAAATGAGTGTGAGATCGAAAAGACAGTTTCAAATTATCTGGTGGAGATGATTATCAAAACATTTGTATCTGGAGAAAAGAAAAGCTGCGATACACAGGATCTCGTTTACCCTTGTAAAAAAATACGAGATTAGAGAAAAAGAGGGCCAAAAAAAATACTAGGGTGTTTCACAACCATGCCATGTTTTGAAGGGAAATTTGGCACGATTTTGATCTTTTTAGGAAATTGGTAGGTTTGCAACAAATACTTCTTAATTTTTCCAACATCAAAACTTCTTAAACTGCTGAATTTTTCATTCATTTTTTTGAAGAAACTTTGTGAACTTTGTAACATCTAACGTCAGATCACTAATGTTTAACGACATTTTCTTCAGAATGTTACAACGTCAGTAATGTGACATTCTAATGAACAATGTCTTTTATTAACTGCAGTGATCTGACATTAGGATAGATCCCCTAAATCTGCAAAAAGGGCCTATTTATATTCAGATGAATTCAGTAAGATATGTTTTGATCTATCAAAATTGCCATTTGCCAATTCACGATCGAAGGGTTTGACTAATACTCAAGCTAAAAAAATAAATTTTATTTTTATCTTTTCAATATGTCGTTCACTTGGTGATGTCGAGATATACGCCCTGCACTTCTCCTGCAACTCAAACCATGTGTACCTTTCTCATCAACTATACTACCGCAAACAAAAGTATGAGAAACACAAATAGATGAACCCATCCTAAGTCCTACTGATATTCTGAAAGATTCATCGTCTAATAGTGTTCCAAGAGATGCAACAGGTAAAGCATTCAGCCAAGCACCCGATTCCTTGATCATTGCTGCTTTCAGACGAGCCTTATCGTATACACTTGTAGATTTCAGAAGTTTATCAGTTACTTTAAAAAGTAACTATTTTCGTGTTTTATCGAATATGGATACTTTATTTTTGTATGGTTACTATGAATCGATTAAAAGCCTGTTCATAAAATCGACACTTTTTTATTACCTCTCCTTTTTATAGTTCAAATAACAAAAATATTATGAATTTGATATATACGCATAGAGAATAAGATAAACTTTCATAATATCATACAAATTTGTCATCAACAAATGATATTCATTTATTTTTATTTTTTCGAATAGGTCGGTTTCATAGACCGACGTTATCAAAAATTATAATTTCCTTCACGTTATCTGCGGAAGGATATATATAGAGGGTGTTCACGTTAAGAAGACAATGACGTCATTTTTGATAATTTTGTATATCCAACATAACAACGTTAAAATTCCCACTGCAATGAATTCAACAGCAATGAAACTAGTAACATTTCATTTTGTAAGTTGCTCAACTGATAGTAAAATTTCAGACGTTGTCAAATCGGAAAAAACTCGAAAACTGTCAGTCTTTATTTCCTTCTCAGAACTAATAATTTCTTTTGATAAGACCTGCGTATATTCAATATGCCTAAAGCATTGTCGAAATAATCTCAACAAATACCAAAAGTGAGTAAGGATAATAGCAATAAAACAAATCAACAGTACAAAAAAATTTGAAAGTTCAAAATAGTGCACATGTTGGCAACGCCGTAACTTGTCATCTTGTTGTTCATGTAAACAACCTATAGGTTGTTCACGGTAAGAAGAGAATGACGTCACATGATGACAAGTTACGGCGTTGCCAACATGTGCACTATTTCGAACTTTCAAATTTTGTTTGTACTGTTGATATGTTTTATTGCTATTATCCTTACTTACTTTTTACTTTTAGTATTTGTTGGGAATATTTCGACCTGAGATTTCGACAATGCTTTAGACATATTGAATATACGCAGGTCTTATCAGAAGAAATGATCAGTTCTGCAAAGAAAAGAAAGACTGACACTTTTCAAGTTTTTTTCGATTCGGCAACGTCTGAAATTTTACTACCAGTTGAGCAACTTACAAAATGAAATGTTTCTAGCTTCATTGCTGTTGAACGCATTTCAGTGGGAATTTTAACGTTGTTATGTTGGATATTACACAAAATTACCAAAAATGACGTCATTTTCTACTTAACGTGCACAGCCTATATATTTTTTTAATCACTACCTTCACTGCTCATGTGAAACTCATATGTTGAAAATAACGATCAAAACAATATAATCTAGGATTTTCTTTGTCTGTTCTCCCCCTCCTATATACAATCCTGGCTACGTCCTTGCTTCCTGCTATTTTATTTACTATAAGTTGACTTCCTTCGAAACAAATGATCGCTAGATGTCATAATAGCTTCAGTTTTCCTGTGAATCAAGTAACACTTTTCATCTGACTGAAACATTTCTATGTAAATAATATAGGTGTTGATAAGAATATTCGGTTGATACTATCCTTCTAAAATAAAGTAATTAAATATTCATCGGGGAATGTACCACAAGATAATTCATCATACTAACATCTACATTGAGATTAAATATCGTTATTTTCACTTTGGCAGTTCACTTCATGCAACATTGAATTCTTTTTTTTTGCACATGGAGCATTCGAAAGTGTTTCACAACAAAGGAATATAATTTCTTCAACTTGTAAAAATAATGAATATGAGTTCTATAATATCCGCAACTGTTTGTTGATTAGAATCTGTTGCTGTGAATGATTTTTTAGCACAACTTGAGAAACTCGTCCTAAGAAAATAGCGGCCTAATTGCGCAAGAAAAACACTCCAATTAACCCATGCTCGGAAGTGTCAATTCAGATTGCATTTTGCTCAGAGTAATAAATATGTCTTTTGTTACTCTGAGGCTTTTTGTGTTGGTGTTGTTCTGTGTTCGTCAGAACACAGGTAAGATCACTTACTGTTCTGTGTCAGATCAAATTAACAGCTGATGAGGTGCTATAAACATGGGTGACAAATAAAGAGTAAATTATCTTGTGTCAACAATAACGTTGTCTAATTACCAAAACAAGCTTGTGAATTCAGTATTATAGGCGATTTACTTTTTTTTCTAAATTATCTAAGAAAATGGATCCAGCCTTACTAAGGGAAAGAGAGTTATTCAAAAAGAAAGCATTAACAACACCAACGTAAGATTCTCTATTTTCAATATTTTTTGTAATGTAATGAAAAGCTTTTTTATTTAGAGTTGAGAAAAAAAAATCTGAACCGAAACCGGAACCTAACAAAGAAGAAAAGAAAAAGTCAAAATCATCAAGTGGGAGTAATGTTGCCCCAAAGCTTGATATAAACACGTGAGTTTTTCTAAAAGTACGGATACAATTCAGTGTGTATTTCATACTTTATAATGAATTTCAAGGTATAAAACATCTACAGGAAGTTCCCAGTACCGTTTTGGAGTTTTAGCAAAAATTGTTAAACATATGAAAACACGACATCAAGATGGTGAAACATATCCTCTAACATTAGAAGAAATATTAGATGAGACGAATCAACTTGATGTTGGAAATAAAGTCAAACAGGTGACACGTCGCAAATTTACTAGAAACATTGATTCAGCTATTTCATTTACAGTGGTTGCAAACTGAAGCCCTCATAAATAATCCTAAAATAGAGGTGACACCAGAAGGAAAGTTTTTATTCAAAGCTTTATATAGACTCAAAGATAGAAAAAGTTTACTGAAGTTGTTGAAACAGCAAGATTTGAAAGGCCTAGGAGGTGTCTTGTTAGATGATGTTCAAGAATCTTTACCTCATTGTGAAAAAGCTCTCAGGGTAATTTCAAATTCATACTCATTATCTGATAGTGTTTGATATTACTCAATATAGATTGTTGCTTTGATTTTGAACATATTGAATTTGTAATGTGAGCCTATCGGCAATTTAATATACTTAAGTAAAGACTAATTGGCAGATATTTGTCAACTTTTGTTATTAAAACATTGAGAACATTTTCTCTCATGTACAGTGGTTTATGAAGCTTCTCAGGATCATAATCTGGATTTCATTATTTACTAGTATACTTGAATATGAGATATTCACAAATTGAATGTATGAAAATGTAAAAACTAATATATTCTCCTTATATAAGCTTGCTTATGTATCTATGTACTGGATTTCATTGAAGAATATACCTTTGTTGTAGATTTTACAAAATCAGAATGAAATAATTTTCATCACGAGGCCTATGGATAAAAAAAAAGTCTTGTTTTATAATGATAGAACAGCGTCGTTGCCGATTGATGAGGACTTTCAGAAATTATGGAGATCTGTAGCAGTAGATGCAATGGATGATGCTAAAATTGAAGAGTATTTAGACAAACAAGGTGAATCAACTATTTTGTTGATTTGAAAATTATTTTGTGAAGTAAAAATAAGTTATTGTACAATTGTGCTCTTGTGTAATTGCAGGTCATATTAAACAAATTGACAATATTGATCAAACATAATAACATAAAATGTTGAAATCACTATTTTCTTATTTTTTATAGGAATTCGATCAATGCAGGATCATGGCCCTAAAAAACCAGTTGCTCCTAAAAGAAAAAAGGTTGGAAGTCGCAAAAAGGTGTTCAAGAAACCCCGAGACAACGAGCATTTGGCAGATGTACTTGAGACTTATGAGAATGACACATTGACTCAAAAAAATACTGTATAAAATAGTTACATTCAGTTGGAGATGAAAATAAAAAAAATAGCGAGAGGTGGTCAAAGTCTGGTCATTTTATTGAGGATTTACTATCAGATTGGACACCAGAAAAGAGTATCTGAACCTAATTTCTGGAAAGATCATATTTATCTTCTGTGGAACCTTAGACGTTGGCGTTGTCTTTTTTAAGAATCTCAAATTTAATTAATTAAATTGATAAATTGAATCTCTCCTTATTTAATCTAATCAAAATGGTTTTCTTACACACCAGGTTTTTCATTGAAGTGTTTTCATGCTGTGTACAGAAATAGTTATTAAACTGATTATCGCCTTGGGATTGTTGATTCTTGACTTTTCGAAGAAATAATAATCTCCATGTGGGGCAAGATACCTCACTAGTGAATTTTCTTAATTTTATGAATTAAGGTGTGACGAACAATACTTGAAATTGTTGGAATGGGTACATGATACTAGTCCTTTGGATGCTTTTCAAAGTATTGGCAATAAGAACTATGAACAAAGGTTATTTCCCAAGCAGGTAAAAGGGGTTATTTATGAACCATCAATAGTATCAGTACAGTACCTATATATATGGCACTATAGCCAATAATAGTGGGAGAAAAAGCAAAACACTGTCTATCCATAGACAATAAAAACCAAAAATAAACAATTTTGACCTTGAAGTAAGCGAGCAAAATGTCTACCTGATGCAATACACATCTGCAATCGATTTGTCATTGATTGTCTGACACATTCAAAAATACCTGGAGTATTCCTTATGACATTGCATTTGTCAATTTTTCCACTTCTCGAGTTATTCCCAGGTGGTAGAGGAGTTTTCAGATGATCCCATGAATAGAAATATCCAGGATTCATATTAAGACTGAGAGTTGGCCAATTTTGACATCCTGCATGTCCAATCCAGCAATTCACATTTCAATCATACTTGTAAAAAATGTGATGAGGTAGTCACCAATAATTTCTACCCAAACGTTCATCGGAAATTTTTGCTGAAAGTTACTTATTGTGTTTCATCGTATTAACATTATTAACATTAAACATTAATCTTGTTTGACAATCCCGAGGCAGTAGAGCTTGAACCCGTTGTATGTGATGTGGGTATAGGATAATTTTTTAAAACTTTCCAAATTGATTTTTGGTCTGACACTAAACTGCAATCTTCCAGGTACTATTTGAAGTATATTTTATCCTATCACATTAAGTATGGCTTCTTCTAATTCAGGCGTTGTTACAGTTTCCAGTCTTCTACCACATGTATTTTTAATAAAACTACCAATTTCACATAATCTTGCATGTATCGTAGCGTAAATCTTTTAACACATTAAATTACTCTGTTACGATATATGTCCTGGTGAATTCTCTTGAATTGTGAATTATTTATTAACATAAATAAAGCGATTAAAGTCAAATTTAATCACTAGCTCTAAATGAAAAGTAAAAAAAGTTGTTGTTTGTGGTATATAATAGAGTGGTTTCATAATTTTTCTCGAAAATAAGGCCAGATATGACGAAAATCCATTAGACCAAAAGGTTGTATTTTTAATTGTTTGATCTGAAGAAAATTGAAAAATACAAATTACAAGAAAGTGGCTTACTTTTTTCTCTATATTATTGGCTTTGGTGCCCACTGAGACGCCACTGGATCTAATAATTTTAATCTAGTATGGGCGAAATAAGCGCTTATTACTTCAAGTACCTATAACAAATTTCAACCAAATTGATTTAAGGATATTCGTGATATTTCATATAGTTTTTTTCAAATTTCAACTTCCAATATCCCAAAAATGAGCAACACCTGACATATGTTCATAGAAACCTTTTTTCTTGAAACAACTTAACAAATCACCCTCTGAAGTTTCGTACGGTAGTTAGGAAACAACTTGTAAAAAAGAAGGAAATGTATTCTTTGCTACTACAATTGTTCTGTATTCTGTAATGAATACAGAAGATATAATGGCACTTGTAATTTTCAAGTGAGCAATATTGACTTTCAATTATTTCAATATTTTTCGAGGTGTTACCTCAGTTAACTTCCTTTTGTTTTTGTGAAAGAGCATGCTGAATAGGCCATATATTTTATAGATCTGTTTTATATGTAAGAAAATATATTTATTTGAGGATTGTATGTTATGAGTGTCATAACATACTATTAGCAGTTTTTCGGTAATATTTATTTTTCCTGGTTATTTCTTTCTTGACTTTAGTACTTCCGTTCTTTCAAAATCACGTTGTTTCATAGGTGTACTGATCGGTATCACTACTGGTCAGTTAGTAGACAGTTGCTCGAGTTCTTTTTAGAAATTGTCATGTTAATACAAGTTCGTTTCCTGCTTTGGGAAACCCATCATGTGGGTTGTTCAGATGTCAGACCTTGGTTCAGTTGCTACCAATCGCATATTAATAGGTACAGGAAAAACTATTTTTTTTAAATTTATTTTTGAAACTGAAGTGAACGAAAAAGACAAATAAAATTGATTTACGGGTTCAGCCCTCATCCAATTTTAAATAATATCATAAAGTGGCAAATATTTGTACCTATGTATAGGTCTTCTATAAAACTGGTCATAGTGATATTAATATTTTATAATATACGGTCAAGACAAAAAAGTATAACAAATTTATTCAATTAAATCAGATATATATTTAAATTTTTGAGACAGTAATTTTCAACCTGATAAATTTATCTCCCAAACCGGATTACTATGTGGGTGGAAATAGATAAACACCAAATTTGACACTTCCTGTTCATATTATCTTTTTTTGAATTCATTGTGCTGTGAGGTTTCTCAATGGAATTTAGTTTATTTCAATGCCAGGTAAGATATGAAATTCGTTGAATTAAATGTTAACATAATTATTTACAGAATGTTTCCATCTCACTTGATTCTTTCTTTGTATCTCTTTTCTTCAATTATTTGTGATGAAAGGGGCCCAAGGGTCAAAAGAATAGTGGGCGGGCGCCCTGCGGATCCACCTCCAATAGACGATCCTGCAGTTTTCACACATTTTGCTGGTAAATCGGCACGAGTACAGGGTGTTTTAGATTTTCCCCACTACGTTTTCAGAGGAATTAAATACGCTCACCCACCTATTGGAAAAAATAGATTTTTGGTAAGACACCAATTCTTCATCACAGTAATTGTAATACTTGCTATTATGGTTTTTGCAGCGACCTCGGCAAAAATTTTTGGAAGGAACTGTAAATGCTACAATGTATGCTCCTCCATGCATCCAACCCCGCCCGGGAACAAATTTGGTGGTTGGAAGTGAAGATTGTTTAGCCCTCAATGTGTTCACACCAGAATTACCTACAGGTTCAGAGGGTAACTATTTGTATTTTGTATTCTCCAGAGTAGTCTAATTTTCAATGAAATCTATTCCATTCTTCATTCTTTGATAGGAACAATTCTCTCTGGAGTATACAGGGTGTAACTAAATAAGTGTAAAACATTTAAGGAGGTGATTCCTCATCGAAAAAAAGATAGGATCTTTCATATAAAGAAATTTCATTGGAGCATCCCTTGTTAAGATACAGCCCCTTAAAGGGGGTACATAAAATTTGTATAACAATTTTTTTCACAAGCATTGAAAAAGTTACAATATTGAAATTAACCTGACGTTTTGTACTACCAAAAAGAGACTTAGCCAGAAATTTATTTGGTTTACCCCGTGGTTGTAAGGGGTGGAGAAGGCAACCCCTAAAATTTATTTCCAATGTAACTTTTTGTCTTATTATTTGTTTACCATTTAAAAATGTATTTCCGATAGCCTGTTTCATTCTAAACAAAAAATGTCTCTTGGGTTTTTTGCCCAAAATAAACCAGTTCGCAGCAAAAAATTATTTTAGGAACAACTACAGAGATACATCGTCATAAATGAGAAAATATGAAACTAATCTATCTAGTATATCGCTATTAGCGATAGTGACAATTAAATTGGTATGACGCTGTCAGTTTGTGAAGTTTCGAAATTGAATTAATACTAATTGTGTGTTGTTGTTCTATTCTTAATTTGTTACTTTAATAACTCGTTATTAAAATGGTATACACAAATGAGGAAATGGCTGATATGCATTACGTTTACGGTCTGTCAAGATATTTTTTGTTTAGAATGAAACAGGCTATCGGAAATTAATTTTTAAATGGTAAACAAATTATAAGTTGAAAAGTTACATTAAAAATAAATGTTAGGGGTTGCGTTTTCCACCCCTTACAATTTGGCTTACCTCCAAATAAGCCAAATAAATTACTGGCTAAGTGTCTTATTGGTAGTACAAAAAGTTAATTTCAATATTGTAACTTTTTCAGTGTTTGTGAAAAAAATTGTAATACAAATTTTATGTACCCTCTTTAAGGGGCTGTATCTTAACAAGGGATGCCCCAATGAAGTTTTTTCATATGAAAGATCCTATCTTTTTTTTCGATGAAGAATCAATCACTTGCTTAAATGTTTTACACTTATTCAGTTACACCCTGTATATTTCAAATTTTAAATTCCCCATCAACATAAAACGATAGAGAACTTCCAAAGAAAAAATGTCCATGGAAACTCTGTCATATTCAGTCAAAGATGTTCAGGTACACAAAAAGGAAAACCCATCTGAATAAAAATAATATTTATTTGCGGTGAATTGGCTCAGTGGTAGTGCGCTCGACTCACGACCAGAAGGTCGTGACCTGACCTGACATTACCTGACCACTGACCAATGTAGTCGATGCCGATGACACCAAAATAAATTATGTATTCATCCAAACAGGCTGATTAGCCTAACTACTAACAATACAATGTATTCATAACGGTAACTGTCAATATACAAGAACCACAGAGAGAAATTATACAGAAAAATTAATTATATGATTTAATATTGATTGACGAAACTGTCCAGTGCAATGATTTTTAGCTTTCATTGCCCAACGGTAAGCCCATTTACAGAGCAATTTGTTAAAAGTAGGTACAATGAATAATAGAAATTTAAATACAAATTTGGAAAAAAATTACAAGAAATTATTTGTTACATACTAAAGTTTTATGATATCCCAAGTAAAAATGTCACAATAGTCACATATTTCATTGAAATTGGTGTACATAAAATTTATTAGAACTTTAAATAATAAACGTATTCAAAAAACACTTTATTGTGAGATTTTCACTAAACAGTTTTACAAAAACGCAACACGTGTTTCGCCATACAATGGCTTCTTCGGGCGTGTCTTTACTAACTAAGTCTACATATTCAATGCTTTATATACTTAATTTTACAATTTGAAGTACCTACATTTCAAGTAGGTACAAGTTTTACCGGAGTTTGTATGAATTAAATTACCTGAGCTTATGTCTCAGTTTCCACATTTGAAAAAATATTTAGTAACGGGGAGTTATTTAATTCTAATTTTTCATTCAGTAAATGAAACGACGTCAAAAATTGTTTACTGGGAAGCTCTAAGCCACAAAACTTCAATGGTTTACATTAACATGAATAAAAATTTTTTTTGCCTGGCCATTTATAGGGCTGTGATTGAGAAAGGTCCCTACAAGAACATTTAATGTAAGAAATTGTTGATCTGTTAGTCCAAATAAAGTCCAGTTTATTCTTTTAAATATCTACCTGTAAGAAGGCAAGGCAAGTAAGATGTAATCGATAAACTGCAATATTTTTTTTCACTGTTAGAAAGATGTACCCACGAGATCGGGATCTACGCTGTGAATTAGTTATATTCTGTAGTTAAAGCAGATACAGTCTCCTGCAAAAGCTATTGTATATAAAGAAACTCTGTAACTATTGCAGTTAAATCTATAAACCGAGAATTTGAACTCTAAATCACACCTTTGCGATGCTGGATCGTGTCGCTAGTAGTTTTGTACAACCGTTTACTTTTCCTTAGACAAGAAAACATATTGTAACGAACTTTTCGCCGTCACCAAAGGTTAAGGGACGTCCCATGGACGTCCACATGGACTTTTATGCGAGCTTTGATTCGTTCACTTGCTCGCCATTGACATAAAAGGATCTATTCAATCGATGAAACATTGTTGTATTTTTGTTTAATCAGAACTGTTTTTATGTAAAATAAAAAAATATAAATAAATATTAACATTATTATTTTAGGGTTGCCAGTGCTAGTTTGGATTCACGGAGGAGGATTTAGGTATGGTTCTGCATCTCAGTACGGGGTATGTCATTTTTTTTAAGGCATCATCATAATCATACCATTCATTGGGACTCTCGTTTATCTTTGATATTTGTATTTTCAGTTTTTTGTCGGCTTGAAAAGAAAGTTGTAATCACTACTTATGTACTTTCAGAGGAGTACAAACTTTGCATTCATAACTAGGTTTAGTACCCTTGACAACATAATTATAAATTCATACATTAAAAAGGAATCTATACAAGATGAACTACTTGACAAGAAACAGTTCCTATTTATATTATTATAATTCCAATTTCTTCCTTGATGATTGGGTCGGGCCATGTCTCCGAAGCCCCTATACATCATCAACCAATAATCACTCTCCCCACCGTGAGGTAAGTGATCTTTGGGTTTGAGAATCATTTGCCAAGAATGACAGCCTTCTGCTTTTGTACGGTCAAGATTTCTGCCTTAGAACGGCAAGCAGACATGATCTTGAGATCCAAGAGTTGGGAGGGCAGCATTCCACCAAGACTCAAAAAATAGAACAGTCATCTTAATAAAGTGGTAGGGATAAAGTAAGAGTTACTGCTATTGCGGCTATGCCTCAAAAACTTGTCTGTGAAAATCTTAAATTATTTAAAGGTATAACATCAGTACCAAGTGATATCCAGTAATTGCAGCTTGATAGGTAGAATTGAAACCTCTGGCGTAAAATGAATCTATTAGAACATTTTCCCACACCAGAACAAAATGCTGTCTCTCGACGCGCGTTTCGCACCATCAATTGATGGTGCACCAAATTAGCACCATCAGGTGATGACTAGAAGTAGTTGAAGTACTTGTTTTTAGAAAACTAATTAACTTTGTCAGAAGTTCTAGAGAGCCTTGCAATCTATTACAAAAAGTGCTGGTATCATCCAGCTGTCTATCTGTTTACCCTGAAAACTGCAGAAAGTTAGTCAAAGCGACTTTCAATAGACCTCATCGAAGCTTGACTTCACAACGAACCGCAGTTGAAATCTTTGATATACCCAGTTTTAGTTTTCTCTTGATGTCATAATTGGCGTCTTCATGAGGGAAGAATCACCACTTCTACCGACTGTCATAAATTTGCAAAGTTAGGAATTCTGAATAGCAAAAAATAGCATAAATAAATGAAATATAAGGTGTTCTCGATTGGCATTTGTGTAGATCGATTTTGTTTCGGATACAATTGTTGTTCCAATTGATAATTAGTATCAAGCCACCAAATATTTAAAAAAATATAACTACTCTACAAGTTGCTGTCAGTTTTACATCAGTCACTGATGATACCAAACGCCAATCGAGAACACCTATGATTTCAAGACATGTGCCATCTTTAAATTTTCATGTGTGGCAGGCGTTCAATGAATATTAAACCACTGATAGCATAAACATGTTGATCTGCTGAAAACATTGAATGCAATCACTGTTTCATAAAGTATTTTCATGTACTTTCATTCCAACTTAAAATATGGCATTGGACATTGAAGGGCTTCATCCCTTGCTTCTAGAGTTTTGGTCGTATTTTGGAAAATTTGAAATCAACTGATTCATGTCGAGTAGCATTTGCAAACTTCTGAGTTTTAACAATGACATCAGTCTACATCTATGAAGTTTGCTGTTTTGTTTTCAAAAATAGGAAGTTTTTTGAATCAGAAAATTAATCACATCTACGAAACTCGTAACAAACAGTTATTAGTTAGTTCCACCAAAGCATTTAACAAGTCTCTACCAGAAAGGTATTTATTACAATTGATGTAAACTTTTCAATAAACTACCTAATTCAATAAAAATTATTAATATGAGAGGTCACACAATGTTAATTTAAACAATTGAAATATGTCAATATAATAAACAAGTCATTAAATTAAAAGAGGTAGACACAAAGAAGAATATTGAATTAAAATTTACTAAAAATCGTTATTTGTTCTAAAATTATGGATTACCGGTAAAAGCCATGTGGTAATCGATGCAAGGTACAAAGTTTTCTATAAAATAAACAGTAAACGTTTGTAACAAGTTTACAGGGTACATTATTATAACATATTAACAAATTAAGTGTGGAGATTCGGCGAGCATCTTCCTTGTGTCAAAAATGTGTCTACGCACATGTTCTAAATATTCTGAAGTGGAATAAANAACCTTCCTCTAATTATAGTACTTGATAAATTATGAATTTTTTGCCACTAACATGAATTTTTCTTAACAGATTTTTGCAAGCATGAAAAATCAAATCATCTTGGACAAATAATATTAGTTATTAGTTGATTCAGATATATTATAGTTATTTTTGAATGTGATCAACGTTTTCTGTTCAGTGCTAGGACTCTCATTGCATAAAATGCTGCTGTACAGGTTACGAGTTAGAAACCAAAAAAAGGAAACATACAAAATCATAAGACAATACAAACATTTAAAAAATTGAAGTAGGAATCGAATACAAACTTCAGAAAGTAGAAATAATTTAGAATCTTATATAAACCATACATGTACTTCAAAGTTTGTTCTTTGTCTATACAAAGAACACTTTATGACTTTACTAATGATATTCTAAAGTTTTTACTTTAAAAATTCTTTACATTCTATAAGACAACTAATATTTCTTGCAAATCTTTCATTTTCTACTTATAGTACGTAGTACAATACATAAAAATGGTGATGAAAAATATTTTACATTTATTGGTCCATCACAGAACTTTCGGTATTGTATTTTCGAAAATTATGAATGCTTGTTTGAATTGAATTTGGAAATGAGAATTGAAACTTCCTAAGTTTTTATACCACTTTTATTTGTAACTAATGTTACTGCAGTTTCGTCTGAAAATGTATTGTATTCGTTTGAAAATGTCATTGTAGGACGAAACTGCAGAAACGTTAGTTACAAATAAAAATGGTATGAAAACATAGAAAGTTTGAATTCTCATTTTTCATGATGATTTCCCACCAGCTACATTCATGAATCTAGTGAAGTGAATCTATTGAATACACTTTTTCCTCACCAGAACAAAATTGCTGTCTCCCGACGCGCCTTTCGCTAACCAAGTTAGCATCATCAGGTTATAACTAAGACTCTTAGTGGGGGAAAAGTGTTTTCAGAAGTAAATCTCATAATTAACATACAGTGTGACACACTCAAGATCAAGACACCCCTGTATTTAATACAGGCGTAGACCTTCATGAGCCGCACTTTCCCGAAATACTTAGTCTGAGTGACAGCCTTAAACCCAGCCATCTGCGTTTCCGCGAAAAGGACAAATTCTCAATATTGTGCTTCGCGTTGATGATACCGAAATAAGTTATTTAAAAAAGTTGCTTGGAAATCGATTTTGACCCTACATACCGAATTTCAACGCAAAATTCATATTTTAATTGTTTTTGATATTTTCATATTCAGGTTAGGTTAGGTTAGATCCAAAGTGAGTGGGTCTATTCGACCTTCAACCGCAACCCGCAAGGGTTTATTGTGGCTCACACCTATTCACACTCGACCAAATAAACCCAGCTTCCTAACGAAGCCGATTAGTTTGTATAGTGAGTGGTCTTTCAGGTCAGATGGTAAGAGTACGGCTCTGCCGAACCCTAAAAACCTGATTCGGTCTCCAGCGGGGCAGGCACAAAGAATGTGCACTGCTGTTTCATCATTTTCCAAACAGAGGCAACTTACACTGTCTTCCGACAGTCCGAGTCTCTGCATATGATGAATCAAATGACAGTTACCTGTAAGAAGGCCTGATAGACATCATATTTCGTCAACTGTTTGGTATCAAGCTTCGAAGGGTATATAAACGCCTAGGAGTAAGCCAAGCCTGGAAGATTCTGCCAGAAGTCCATAAATCTTCTTGCCATGCAGGTGTTCAATGTTTGTTAGGCAAAGCCTAAAGCGATGACAATGAGACGTTCTGGTCCGATGAAGCTGCTTGCAGCACGCTCCTTTGCAAAGGAGTTAGCAGGTTCATTGCCTTCCAGGCCAGTATGGCCAGGAGTCCAGACCAGAGAGCCGGAGCCGTTTTCTGTAAAGCCTTCGGCCACCAGGCAATTGCTCCTTAAGTGATTGTTGTTCTGACAATCATCACATAAATCCAATGGATTTGTTTGTGACCTAAACCCCAAGTTTTACCACAAATCCTTCGACATGTCCATAGGGACAGTCTGGTTTTTCCAAGTGATCGTTCCAGGTGAGTTTTTCATCAAGGGCAATGACAAGATATTTCAACTCCGTTCCAAATAGAATGACCTCACCATTGAGGGAAAGTGGCGTTAAATCGTACAATTCTCTCCTCCTGGTGAAGGGGATTATCAAAGTTTTTCTGGGGTTGACAGATATCAGCTCCCTCGAGCACCAACTGTGGAGATGGTATCCCACCTTGAGGGCAGCCTCTGGTGACCCTGAACCTGATGGCCTCGCTTTGAAGAGTCGTAGTTGCAGTTCTGTTCACCAGCATGGCATAGAGTAGCCAAGAGCTTCCAATGCCGCTTGACTGTCCGATAATATTTTTATTGACTTGTGTATGAGGTTGGATTCTTCCAATCTCTCCGCACACAATTCAATAGCGTAAATTTCCGCTTGAACTATCGTCGCATAGGTTCCTAGGCAGGTTGATATCTCTGTTCTGGGTCTGCGACTGAAAACACCTGCACCAGAACCTGAAGGTGTTTTTGTTCTATCTGTGAACCGACAACTATCTGCTCTTAATATTTCCTTCTCCCGGAGGATTCAGTCCTCTCTACTCGGGAACAGTACTTTATGAGGCAGTTCGTAATTGACAGTTGAAGGCATAAAGTCAAAGGTTATTTCCAGAATGCTGTGACTTCCAGTGTCAACCAACAGTCTGTTGCACTCTGCATTAAATTGATTTGTGCAATTGGCAATGTGCACAAGTCTATATGCAGTCCATCTAGCCTTTCTCTACAGAAAAATGTGGAGAGGAGGTAGATTTAGAAGGATCTCTATAGCCGCTGACGGTGTGGTACTGATGGCACCACTGATGGCCAGACAAGCCTGTCTGCTAGCCAGAACTTCGCCTGTCCATAGGGACAGTCTAGCTTTGTGTAAGACTTTTTCCAAGTAAGCGTTCCAGGTGAGTTTTTTTTTTGTCAAGGACAATGCCACAATATTTCATCTCCGTTCCAAATGGAATGATCTCACCATTGAGGTAAAGTGGAGTTAGATCGTCCAATATTCTCCTACTGGTAAAGGGGATTATTACAGTTTTGCTGGAATTTCATATTCAAGTCTGATTTTAAATCCATAGTTCTAAATAAGAAGTTACGAAAATAATAAATTCGTAATAATATATAATGCAAATAATATAATGTTAAGATTAGTTGGCCCTGGAAATTGAGATTTATTCATGATATTTGGTGTCCTAATAGACTTTTTGAATATCTACCTAACAAAAAAAACATTCCAATCGGTTGAAAAATGTAAGTTTTATAAGGGTGCTTCCATCTTAAATGGGTCACACTGTATAATAAAAATTCAGCAGATCTGTAAAGAAAAAATTGATGCATCCCTCAACACCCCAGCTTTAATCTCCATATTTTCAGGGAAATATTGCGGAATGGATGTCAAATATTGAAATTATTTTTTGAAAATCTGTAAAGAAAAAATTGATGCATCCCTTAACATCCCAGCTTTAATCTCCATATTTTCAGGGAAATATTGCGGAATGGATGTCAAATATTGAAATTATTTTTTTGAAAATGCATATTCTGAGTTGATATTGAGAATTGAGGCAATCTATACAGCCACGAAAGAGCGTCTCCCTCGTTTCACCAAATTGTCCTTCTTGCCTTCTGACCTGAAAGATCATTCACCACATGAAGTATTCGATTTCAATATGAGTATAGGATTTATTTGATTGTTTTGAAGTTATTTGAATAGGTAAACCTTTACGGGTTGTACTAGAAGGTCAGATACACCCAATCACTTTGGACCTGCCCCCCATTCAGAATATACGTCAGTTTTATGGGCAGTGACAATATTCAATTGTTGAAAGAGTTCAAAAGCTATCAAATAAATGAATTCCTTTTCTCATTTTGCTTTCTTGCACTTAATATATACGAGAGTTGAAGAAAAATTATCTGGTATATAGTAGTTGTGTGCCGAGTAAAATACTTAACAGTTGCAATATTTTGTAAGAAATAACAGAAATCCACATATTCAGAAGTAATACTGTTGAAATGAAAAGTCACTTTGGGTTGGGCCTTTTTTATTGAAACTTTGGTAGGATGAGAACATCCTTTCTTATAAGTATAAGTGGCTAATTTCAATAGCTGCCATTAGATCTGAAGTTTATTGAACCAAAGTTACATACTATTCAGTATAAAATGATATTGACATTTTATCGAATGATAGTACTTCTATTAGTAATCACCATGATGTTTGTGGAAAATACACGAAAAAATTTTGCTCAATCATCTTGGTTTTTGGAAACTGGATGTGTATTATTCAGTTCGAAATTGTCAATCAAAAGTCGGAGTACGAAATCAATGAGAAATTGTAAGCATTGAAGCATACGCATATCAAAATATTCTTGAATTTTACAGGATTAACTTCTGGAATAATAGCCATGTCTGGAACAGCAATTTCACGCTGGGCTGTAGATCATACTCCCCACGATACAGCTCAAGATATTGCCAAACAAAATGGTTGTCCAACTGTCAATGCTTTAACGATGGTCAAATGCCTACAGTCATTGTCTCCAGACTCAATAGTTAAGGTAAACAAATCTTCAAAGTGAAACAAACATTTTTGGTTCAATGTGTATTCATTAATTAGTTTTCTCAGAAAATAATCTACTATATTGATTTAAATTACTCAGTCAATTTTTTATTGAGATCTAAAAGCACAATTTATTATGACAATCGTCAGATATAGTACCTTTTTTATCTTTCACTGTGTGAGTCTAAACACCAACCTCGTCATGTACTAAAAAAATACACTATACTTAGACGAATAAATATTCATTGAGTAGGAAATGATACTAATATACAAAAATAACAATAAAATTCTAGGAAATTCAAAATAAAGTAATACAAACTATGAAATTATGACACAACAACAAAAATTACTTGGCGCTCCGGGGCGACTTCATTGATTCCAGTGGCGCATTTGCTTTTTCAGCTGCAGGAAAACCCGGAAAAACCTGCAGCACCACATCATCTGAGTAAATAAAAATAATAGCCCATTAATTAATAGGAGTAAGAATTCGAACTAATTGAACTAAATAATACTGACTGGACTATAAGTAACTTTCTACAAATAATGTATTTGAAGCCTTTATAAAAGAATTGACTTGGTCTCTTGACATGTCATGTCCTAGAGTGTGTATAAGGTATAAATGTAAATAAAAACTAAAAAAAAGTTGGGTGAAGAGAGAACTCCAGAATAAAAGCAGAAAGTTGAGAGAATCGCACAAAAGAATTAAAGAAGGTGGAATCACACGTTAAAAGGTAAGACCTCGTTAGTCCTTAGCTTGCACTAGTTTCGACTTCTGAGCGTTGTCGTTCGTAGGGGTGCAACAGCTGGTTAACGGAAAAACAGAAACAGATGTGAGCGATGAGAACTACAGATGAGAAAATAGAGAATACACAAATGAATTGAAGAAGTTAAAAACAGGATAATACGAAAATCAAATAGAAATATGTGAAAACGAACAGAAAGCCACATGGTATATTGTAGATAGTTTCAAATAGTTTCAGAGGGAAAACTAAAATTGACAAAAATAAAGATTCTCCTTGAAGCAAATGGTATTCAAATCAATGATGCAACAGAAGTTGCAAATAAATGTGCTTGTCAATTTGCAAGAGCAGCCTCTGTAACTCTGTCAAGACATGTAGGTCAGAATATGTCACTGCCACATACGGCCTCAGAATTCAATGGAAACTAAATGTTAGAAACAACCTAAACTAGTTTCAACAATGTATGAACTGAAAAACAAAAAATCGAGTGGACTAGATGATATAAAAATTAAGGTTCTGGAATATGCCATATTTGAAATTCTATTGAATCTTGTTAACTAATTAATTTTATACACTTACACACACACACACTTACACGTATGCAAGTCTCTCAAAAATAGTTGAGTACTCAGTTCTTGTGTTTTTAAACTCATTGAAAAGCGTTTTTTTTCTCGTTTTTTGAAATCCAGCATTGCTTTTCATTTGAGTAAATTTACTCATACTTTGACTTTGTATAAATAAAAGGTTGACCACTGTTAACGGTTTGAATATTTTGCGTCAGGCCATTTAACTGCATTCAATATGAAATCGATAAATAAGCTAGTCTTAGAATGGTTTGAATATTGTGGTAGTAATCAACAACCGACAATACATCAAATTCTGAATTTGGTCAAATAGAATTCTTCATTCTTCTCAAACGTCTCTCAGAATTTGGTTTTTCAGCAAAATTGGTGAAACTCATGTCAAACTATCTACTCGATAGAAAACAGTATGTAAAGTATGAAGGCTTCAAATCTGCTTTATATACTCCCAGTTCCGGAGTACCCCAAGGCTCGAATTTAGGACCTCTTTTGTTCTTGATTTTCATTAATGATTTAACTGAAATAATAAACAGTTCAAAACTGCTCTACGCTGATGACCTTAAAATATTCAAGGTGATAAAAAATTATGGAGACTGCTTAGACTTACAGTATGAATTAGAGCTGATATATGGTTGGTGTTCCAAAAATCGTTTGAATTTTCACATTGCTAAATGTCATGTATTGTCTTTTTCCAGAAAGGAAAGTCTAATACAATTTACTTACGAAATTTATAACAATACCATAAGTCGAGTTAATGAAATGAAAGACCTTGGCATTAATTTTGATCAGAAATTCACTTTTGATTCACATATAGACCAAGCTGTTTCGTCCGCTAGTCGAATGTTGGGCTTCGTAATGAGGAACACCAGAGAATTTAGAGATACTAAGGTGATAATCACGCTATTCTATGCTTATGTGAGGTCCAAACTAGAATATGGGGCGATGATCTGGTATCCCATTTATAATTCTCACATACAGCAAATTGAAGCTGTCCAAAGAAAGTTCTTGAAATTTTTGTCTTTTCGCACTACAGGTATTTACCTCCAAAGGGGATTTGGTTATTCCATCCTTTTGAACCAATTTAATATTATATCACTGAATACACGTAGACTTCTCATTACGGTCACATTTCTATATAATTTAATAACTGTCCAAAGAAAGTTCTTGAAATTCTTGTCTTTTCGCACTACAGGTATTTACCCCCAAAGGGGAATTGACTATTCCATCCTTTTGAACCAATTTAATATTATATCACTGAATACACGTAGACTTCTCATTACGGTCACATTTCTATATAATTTAATAAATAATAACATCTCCTGTACTCCGCTCCTACAAAAAATAAATTTTTATGTACCACGCCTCGACTCAAGATAAGAGAAAACATTTCATTGTCAGAGTAGTAGAACAAATGTGAATCTCAAAACACCAGTAAATTTAATGTGTTATAATTTATATAACTTTCATTTGTTTTATCTCAACCTTGTGAAGGCTAAATCATTATTTAATATCATTTGTAATTTGCCAATTTAATAAGTAATATGTGAATTTAATTGAATTGAATGTTATTTTTTTATTTATTTTCTTTAACATTTCCTGTAATTGGGTGTACACCCGTTGGAAATAAAGTGCTATCTATATATTTGTCTATAATCAATGGCCGATTTTCTTAGGGATCCATATCATATTTTGCTAGTTTTTTATGTAAACATGATCGACAAATTATCCAAACGTATACAGTCGGGTCGACAAAAAAATACACATGCGTCATCAATAAAATACACAATAAAACCCATTGTCTTCAGTTTCACCTGAGAGCCGTCTGACTTGTCCATGTTTTTCAAGTCTCCGGAAAACACTGCGGCCTTATGGACTTATTGAATTTTTCTCCTCTTCTTTTTCATGACACACATTCAAATAATCTTGTTCCTCTACTGGTTTCTACACTTCTCTTGGTGGACCTATGTCATATTCTTCTGGACATAATTTAGGTTGTCCATAAATTGTTCACCTGCTGATGTCTCACATTCGCATAAAATATGACAAGCTGTCTCTGTCCCTTTGTTACGTTGCCTGAAGCAAAGGTATCCATTGTGCAGCCCTATTTTGTTCAGGTGTCTTCTTTATTATTATTATTCAGTGAGAAGCCTTTAAAATTGAGTTTACAGCCCAGTTGATGTTTTCCAAATCTACCACTTTCTTTGCCACCTGCCAAATGGAGGCCCATTTGGGGGCCTCCGGTTCTGAATTTGTCCAGGACTCCGGGTATCAGATTTTTAATATCTGTACCTGGAAAAACTCTCTCCTCCTATTTTTCTGTTCTCCCCAGTGTTTGTTCCGAAGTTTTTTATCGAGAATTGAAGTTATTTTGAGAGTATCTAGAGTCTGTTCAATCTCCCCGCATGGCCTCCCCCATGAGTCTCTCTTGATTTCCTCAGGGCTTTATTATTTTTAGTTAGGACCTTTCATATTGATTCCATACTCCTGATTTCCTTCCGTGTTGTAGGCTTTTCTAGTTTGTGGCCTCATAGGTGTCTGATCTTTATTCCACCAGGGGACATGATCATGGAATAACCAAAAATTGTGAGCAACTCATGATTGGCATCACTCCTTGTTCTCTTTATTTCGATATCGGAAAAAAATCCATATTCACAAAATATGCCCAAGTAAATATTTTCTTCAAAAACAATAATTTTGGCCTGACTTGAAATTAATGAATGAGCTGGAACATACATGTATTCATCTATCCATCCTTGACGAAAATTCGTAACGTATTTTCACTAGTTTTACAAAAACGCAACACGTGTTTCGCCATACAATGCCTTCTTCAGGCTTCTACTAGTAAAGACACGCCCGTAGAAGCCATTGTATGGCGAAACACGTGTTGCGTTTTTGTAAAACTCTTTAGGGAAAACAAGTTGCCTATATAATAGACTTTTATATATTAATGAAGAAAAAAAAAGATTATTGATAAAGTTCCCAACTCTAACTTAGTTTAGACATGTTTACGAAGATATGAGTTGATTTATTTTTGAGTCAATGTACCACTGAAATAACTTTTAAATGAAAGTTGAGGCTCATTGGAAAAGTATAACACTTGAAGGAGTTGTATCTTTTAATTTCTCATTTCACTTCTACACATTGTCTTGTATTGTCTCTTTCCTTCTGAACAGGAAATTAAATGTTTATATTGTAACAAAATATAAATATAGTCACTATTTTTCCAGGAAAAAATAAAATTTTTGGAAACAATCCCATGAGATTTTTCAAACTAATATTGCAGAAATATTAATAATGTAACTAGTTTATTTTATTCAAAGGGTGATTCTAACATAGAATTCCAACGGATCCAGTCAAAGGGGTTCATTTCGGGACTGTCAGGTGACTTGGGCTGTGCACCTGTAAAAGAAGGGTTTAACGACGGTAGGTCTCTGCCAGGTTTTGTTCAAGACGAACCAATGAATGACATGGAAAAGCAAAGAAATCCCAAAGTTCCCCTACTAACAGGCATAGTAAAGGATGAAACTAAGAAATCAATAAAAGGCAGGAGTGACCTACTAAATTTTTTTGCTGAACATATTTATTGTTTTTTTTTTTATTTTTAGGGTACTTAAAAACTGATATTCTTCAAAAGTTGAATACGATTCCCGACTTTGTAGATAAAGTTTTAGTAGAAAAATTGAGGCAATTTGTTCCTCTCAAAGTTAACATGGACATTGTTAAAAATGTGAATGATCTTGGAAGTTCTCTTACTAATTTGTTACCAGTCAGTTTTAAAAATTATTTGAAACACAATGCAGACAATCTTTTACAAACGCTGGACAAAATTTCTGATGTGACAAGTAGGTGAGAAAAACTTTTGATCAATACATACTTGATTATGCTGATTATTTCAGATGATGCACTATTTAATGTTCCGGCTTTTCTCACAGTTGACAGATGGTCAAAAAATGGTGCACAGACCTTTTTATACAGTTTTGAACATTCAGGAAAATTGAAAAAAGGAAATTCTTTTCTATTAGGATCTCCACTTATTGGTAATTCCACTAACAACGCAGGTATGAATACATTTATCATCCGTATTTGAAATATTATTTTACACCATATGAAATACACAATTATTCATATAATTATACCAAAGTCAACTCATAGTCTCAATATGCTTCAGTAATACACAATATTATTCATCATATATGAATACATTGAATTTGTTAAAATTGATTGCATTTTAAAAAAATACTTTCAAATGGAATGTTCACATCGATCGATCATCATTATTCATGCTGTTATAAGAATGTTATGGAACAAATATTTATTTTTGTTGAAATTATGAAACCCTCTAAAGGGAAATCTTGTTAAGTAAGGAAAACCAACGAATAGTTTGTAAAACAGTACAATTTGAATTCAATATCAGAGCAAACAATTATGTTAAGACAGAAGCAACATCTAGAAGCGAAACAAAAACAAGAATGAGACAAACAGGAAGTTCTTTGGAGATGCACCAATACTGCAGGTTGATTTTGAAGATGCTTTAAGAGCGGTGCCTGTGCGAAAATGGTGTTTTCCTTTTTAATCCCTGTCTATACCTAGGTTTTGGTCTGTGAGGGTAAGCTTTACATATACTTTTCACCCCAAAGAAAAAAAGATGTTGCCCAATGTGAATCACTACTTTCGCACAGGCACTGCTCTAGGAGGGCCTTGAAGGATTTTCCTACAGTACTTGTGTTTTGTCCTTGAAAAAAAAAGAACGAATCAGGTCTCCTGTTCCTCTCACACAATAAGCCTCCTCTCACTCTCTACACAGTTTTCGGCTATTATTATTGTTTATCCATCGAGCGTGGATACAGTTTGCGATGCCACCGAAGCTGTGGATTATTCTACATAGTTTTTGAACTCATTGGATTTGCTAGGCATACCACCGCATAATTCACAACTGTAGGTTGGATCGCTCCGTAATTTGAATCGAACACAGCTATGCAACTGCACACGATTAGTCACTAAAAAATTAATGAAAAACTTTGTCGAAGCCAGCATTTCAAACGGCAAGTTTCGAGGTGAAAATATATTCAAAACACGAATCCCTATTACACCACAGATGTGCCAATTCATTTTAAACGTGTGCAATTTCCAATTAGATTGGCATTTGCAATGACTAGTAATGATCCCTAAGGCCAAACAATGTCCGTTTGTGGCTTGGATTTGAGCACACCAAGTTTTTTACACGGACAATTATACACAGTTTGTTTGTGTTAGCTAAACATATGGACTAACGAAAAATATTGTACACCCTATAGCATTAAGACATTAATGTTATTTGTAAGTGTTATTCTTCTGATAGAAATAATTCATGTGACAAAACAACGTTTGCTGGGACAGCTAGTACTATTTTATATTATGATAGTAACACATCTGTAGAAAGAGATGTTTTTTTTCAACACTTTTGAGGTTAACCTCAACATATTTTTGACAGTTGTCGTTATGCTGAAATTTAATTCTTTTTTGTTTTATTGGAGCATACCTCAATTTTTCTCTTAAAATCACAATGAAACGTAGCTAGACAAATAATTTTAGAGTTGAAAATATTTCGAAGTCTCAAATGAGAGATTTAAAATAACGTTATTTATGCGGTTCTGTTAGTTGGGGTATGTTTCCAAAAGTTATATCCAATAAAGGAGTTAACCAGAAAGTGCACCATCTATTTTAAAACACTGGCATGAAACAACATGAAATCGAATTTCCTTTTGTCAACAATAATTTAACAATTTAAAAGGATTATTCTGAATTGAATGTTTTTGTTACTGAGTTCGGTTGACTTGTTGGCTTATCATATGAAAGACAATACCGGGCTTTAGAATGTACTGTTGAAATAGATAGGCAATTGAATAAAAAATTATCGAGTTCTCAGAGAGAACATTCTACATTGAATTGATTTTTGGTTAATTTCATCCTTAATGTATTCTGTATTTCAATTCTAAACTGAAATAATGATCATGATCATCTTGAACTCTCAATTTTTTATTCATTTCAGGGTACATAATTAAAATAACTTGCAATTGAAATACAAATTTTTTACAGATAAGGTTTTGATTATGTGTATTTCAACTTCAAAGTACCGCACAATGAGAATTGAAACAGTGAATATATTGATTTTATTTAATAAAATATATTTTCCACAATTTCAGAAGAGAGCAACGACACAGTGAGTCATGGAGATGATCTAGCATATTTATTTGATGCATATGATATTGAAGGAAACTCTCTGGATACCGATAATAACATAAGTGAAGATGACAAAAATGTCCGAGAATTTTTCACTCAAATGATAGCCGATTTTGCTCGACACGGTGCTCCCAAGATAAACAATAAAATTATGTCACCATTTTCCAGCGCCAAGAACAATTTTCTTCGAATCAAAGCAAAGCCTATGTTGGCGGAGGGTTTCAAATTCTGCGAGATGGCTCTGTGGTGTAACATAGCTGAAAGGCTGAAAAGTACTGCTTGTGCCTTTTGGAATGGAGTTAATGAATTTATAAACAAAACAAGTCTTAATAACTTGGCTCCCAACAAAATATTGGAGAAAGTCAAGCCACTCGACGTTTTAGCAATGGGATCAGTAAAAAAACCGCAGGTAATGGACTTTGTTAACGGAGGACAGACTAACAATGTTTTTCCAAATTTATTTGGTGGTAGCAATGAAAACCTATTGTCGCCCCTAAATGGGGAGAGTTCAAGTGGAAAGAAAAATTCTTGGGGTTTGTTAGACGGTCAAACAACTAATAATATTCCGAGAGAGCAAAAAGGGCTTGCAGCAGGTACTGGTAGTCAACTGATGAACAAATCCAGACAAAATATAAATGGAAGTCCAAGAAATGATTTTATTGACAATAAACTCGATACTAACACCAGTAGAAATATAAATTATGGACAAAGTTTTGGTAATATCGAAGATTCAGTAAATAAAGTTTTTGGTACCAACCAGAAAAACTATCCTGATTCACAAAACATTGAAAAGTTGGTAAATAATGTTTTCGGTTCCAAAGGTACAAATACAGATTCTGACAGTAACCCTGGTAACATGGAAGAATCAGAGAGTAAAAATGTAGGCAGTAATGGTGTTAGGGAAAATCAAGGAATAAATTCAAATGATATTAGCTATAAACAAAAGACATCTTCGCCTAACTTGTGGGGAATATTTGGGAACAAAAATCATGAGAACTCTAGAGATAGTAAGCCTACTTTAAGTTTAGGGGGTATCATAGGGTGAAGCAAAAGAGTTTTTATAAAAGTGTATTTACAGAATTATTAAATAAAAGTTCATTCTTATTTCATTATTTTCTTGTATATGTAATTGGAAAACCAAACAACTCCTGTGAAGAAATGCATCAGCGCCATTAGTCGAAAACAATTTTTGAAACTAGAATCTGAAAAAAAATTATTAATATACTATTTTTTTGTAACTCGTATTCTTACCAATGATCAGAAAGAATAAAAAAGCGAATCCACTCATGATACTTATTAGGTTGAACTCTTTATTGGTTTCTCCTCGTAGGGTTAAACCTAGCAGTGGCATGCCAATATACTGCAATGTAGCTATGCTAATAGTTACTTGGATAGCTCCAAATATCAGAATATTTGATTTATCAGAATCTGAAATCACTGAAAAGAAAATAAATTTTAACACAAAGTCTTGAACGCCAGAAAAAATTATTCCCAAAAACACTGTTAGTGTTTTTGGGTCACATGTTATTGCCAAAACTTCAATAGTACAGGAATAATTATATTAAGTAATTTTCTAAAGTAAGTATTCTAAATAAATGAAAATATGTAATGGATAAAAATAGTCCCTCTATAATAGATTATTATTTTACCCTGAATAATATCTGAATTGGACAGATACAAATCTAATTGAGTTAAACCAAATTTATTTTTTTTATGAATACCTTGGTATGTTGAGGAACGCAATAAATCTATACAAGAACAAGAAAAACTCTCAGGCTAGAAATACTACTTGACAAACATGACATTGACAATTTATGTATATCCGACCAATGGAGAAAAATAGAAATGGAGATCCTAAGTTTCAGAATCTACAGGATAATGAATTCATATTATCGAAAAGCATTCGACTGTGGTGGTGTATGTGAAGTCGCAAAAAAATGACATTTCAAAAACTTGATTTTAGCAAAGTAAGTATGTATTGAAAAACTTGTTGAAATATGTTGCACATAAATCAGTCTACCCAGTATAGGAAAACCAAAATATGTGAACCTAACCTAACTTCTATTTCAAACTTTTCATTAATAAATTGAATGGCTTCATGGATAGCAATTATAATAAAAAATATTCATATTTGATATGTGAGGATATGAACGTGGATCTTCCTTTCTTCTCATTGAGTAGCACCCCTAGTTGGTATTCTATTAAAAATCAGGAACTATATTCCTATATTAAAATTTGTATCTTTAGGTAATTTATTCAATCTCTATTCATAAACATTCAATGTTTTTTCAAATAATAAAGACAATATTCATTCCAGGAATTAATCTTAAAGGGAACAGTAATCTCTCCATATTTATTAAAAAATTCAGTAAAACTTGCACCTTTACTAATATTGGAAACTTTTTAGCCCAAATCATTGATACAGAAATATTGAATCATTCATATCAATTAGCATCATGTAATATTAACCAGAAAAATTATCAGTCCATTGTAATGGGTAGAATATTGAGTAATGATGATATTCTGGATTCCAGACAAAATATGTTGCTTGTAGATTTGAACAATCTGTTAGTTTATGAAACAGGCAACCAGGAAGCATTCTCACTTTTTCACAAAAAGTTCTTAGATCTATTTGAGTTATCATTCCTAATAAAACAATTTTCAACCAATAAAAGATAAACTAAAGTTCCTTGGATCACTTCAAACATCAAATAACAGTCAGAACTGGTTAGAGAAACTGCAGAAACAGCAAAAAGACTTGATAATGATAGCTACACATTGAGACAAAAATGCCTAAAAGAAATATGAAAAATAAGTTATCCTATATCCCAAATATTGAACCCCAACATAATTCATTATATTTGTTCCCTACTGAACTCGAGAAAGTACATAAAACTATATTAAAAATGTGCATATATGAACACTCATATAATGTAAGACTTTATGATGTACTGTTTGGAACCTTTGGTGTAGTAATGAATATTACTGGAGTTTTTTCCTAACACCAAATCGTTTGGTGTTGGGAAAAAACTCCAGTAATATTCAATGTAAGACTTGGCAATTATCTCGGGAACTTAAATATACTAGATAGCTCACAGCATAGATGGAGCTATGTCTCATTGAAAAAAAAAGAAAACATTATGGGACTGTTTTTCGACATGTGCCGAACATTCGATATTGTTTGATCACAATTTATTGGAAGCTAAACAGTTTCAGGTAGGTGTTAGAGGCTCATGTTTGGAATAGATAATTTCTCATCTATCAAACAAAAACCAACAAGTTAAAATCAATGGTGTTAGATCGGAACATATTGAAATAAGGACAGGTACACCACAAGAATCATATCTATCACTAACCTTACTAAATATATCTGTAATCGATTCTTCAAAGGAATTGAATAAAACTAGACTATTGGATTCTAAAGACGCTAATTCAATCGTCACTGGACAATCAAGGGGAATAATAGAGAACAGAATAATACAACAACCTAAGGATTCGACTATCAATGTTCGGTCTGCTGTTAAAAGATGTTTCAAAAATTGCCAGAAGTGTAAAATGAGAAAAGCTCAAACCACATGTACCGGAAATGGGAATAGAAGCAAAAACTGGAAGCTTTTGTTTATCCATTTTCTTATGTGGGGATAGATTTTTTCAGGCCACTGACGGTTTTAGTTGGGAGATGAGTTGATGAGGTATGGTGGAGTTATGGGGTATATCTTGGAAATTGATTCCACCAGAGGCTCCACATATGGGTGGCATTTGAAAAAGAATGGTACATTCTATAAAATCTTCACTCAAAATTACTCCAAAGTACTCATTTTAAAGAAGTGTTACTCTTTTGTCAGAAGCTGAATACATAGTTCTAGTTCTAACATATATTTCAGTCGATAGCAATGAACCAGAAGCATTTACTCCCCATCACTTTTTAGTACTTAGACCTGGAGGAGTTCCCACTTATAGAGAAAATTGCCCATGCACCAGAAAGCGAATAGCTGAAGGATTGGCTGATCTATATTGGCGTCGATCGATTGAATAATACCGCCCAATAATTATTCAAAGACAAAAATGGCATTCCACAACAAAACCCAGAGAAATTCGAAGTATTGTCATCATTGTGGATGAAAAACTGTCAAGAAATGAGTGCTGATGGGTCAAATAAAAGAAGTATTTCCAGGTAAAGATGGAATTATACGTGTGGCCCGAGTTAAAATGAAAAAAGGGGTTTCATACTAGACCTGTGTCAAAACTCTGCCTTTGTTCTGCCAACTAATAGGTGAAGATCACAGTTCACTCAGGAGAGAATGTTACCTACTTGTCACTTTAATGTGAATTATAGTTCCGAAAGGGTATTAAAATACGTTTGTGATATTAAAAAACATTCGATATTATTTGAATTGAATCATAAAAATAAATTCAATTTATAAATTCAATTCAACCACAGTTCGAAAAAATAAATGCAAATTCTTTGAACATAATTCAGTTAAACCTATTGTAGTATCCTATTAGCTATTAGTAAACAGTGTGTCATATTTAAGTGTATAAAAGGAAGAATATTCTTACTTTTTGTTGGTTATTATGACAAACATATGAAGGTACTATTTTGAAGTGGAAAATAATCCAGAAAAGGAATCCATTCAAAAGTTCAACAAATAAGTCCATTATAACATAATACTTACTGAAATATCCAAAGGATCCTAACCAACATAAAAACCATAAGCAGATAGCTCTTCTCTTTCTGTCGATGTTTATCCAATACGATACTCCTGAAAACATGAGACCGCTCAGTGCCAAAGTTCCAATGATGGAAGATACTGTTTTTATATGAATGTTCCCCAATTCTTGGTACAGATAAATTGGAAATAAGGTGTAGTAAACAAAAATCGAGAATTTAGTAGTTATCACAGTTAGGAGAGACTTATAAAAGGTCGGTTGTTGGAGTAGTTCCAGGCTTGAAAATATGGAGGATCTCTGTGAAACAGCTGGCATAAAAACCGCAGGAGGTCTGTGAGAACCTATATCCTGTTCCAAGGCATCATACGAGTAAGTGGTATTGTTATTTACTGGTAAATCAGAAAACAGAGGCATCGGAACCCCGGATATGTTTGTTGTAAGCTCATTGTTATTATTTCTTTCTGCAAAAGACAATTCAAGTTGTAAGTTGCCAGCTTTTATATTTTCCTTTCCTTTTTGATCATCATGCGAATCCTTTATATTTTCTAGGTCCTCATCTTCGTCAAAAGTTTCCCAATCTTGTTTGAGAACTTCATACTTGTTTTTTTCTCTTTCATCTTCGGCATCATCCTCAAATGTTTCCCATTTTTGAATAACTTTCGGGTTTGTGATGCTAGTACTATGTCCTGATGTTGAAGGCTCAGTAGAAGAAGGAATTGGGTGTTTTTCTATTGTTACATTAGTTCCTGAACTATTTTGTCTTTTAATCTGGAGCTCTCTTGAATTTTTCGAAAATATGTCTTCTTCATCATCAGGATTGTTCTGGAAAAAAACTCTCAAGTAGCACTGTGCTTAAAGTAAAATGGAATACCATACCGTTATGTAATTATACCGGCTGGCCTGTTTAGATTTCAAATAGGATGGTTTTTTAAATGTCAAATTGAATATCAGCCCTTGCAGTATTATTGCTTGGTACCACAGAATCACTTTAAGCAAATGAGAGTTCAATATTTGGTTTCCTAAGACGATAGGAGTTAAAATAAATCCCACCGATGTTACTCCTTGAGTGATGTGCACTAAAATTGTATGCTTGAACTTAAAATACTGCGTAAGTATTATTTCACACTGGGAAATCTGTATTGAAGCGCCGATTCCTGAAAAAATGATTCATTATTCATAATGTATAGTAAATATTTAACATGAAGAGAAAATGCGTGTTCTATTTAAGCTATCATTGTATAGTGTAATACATGTTGCAGTTTTATAAACTGTTTGTTACTGGTAATCATAATAATAATATCTGTTTTAAAATCTGTTTTTCCGTTAATCAGCTGTCTGATTAACGGAAAATCTATTAACCATTGTTGGTTCCTATGGTAGGTTATGATTAGGTACATCAAAACTACAAATTTTAAAAGCTAAAAATGAAACGTTGTAAATCAAATATAGGTATAATATATATTATTAGTACTATTTGATCGACCTTTTTTGGGTATTTGTTACCTTCCACGATCTGAAAAATATAAAAATTATAATGGAGAATTTTATACAAGTGTAGAAGGGCAAACTTTTGGCTTTACCCCTAAAAGTTACTGAGTAAAAATCGAAGGATTTTTCACAAAGAAAAATCTTCTGTTTATCAGTAACTTGTCGTATTTAACAATTTTGCCTATCAGTAACTTATCGGGGTAAACTAAAAAGTTTGCCCTTCTACACTTGTATAAAGTTCTCCATTATAACTTTTATATTTTTCAGATTGTGGAAGGTAACAAATACTAAAAAAAGGTCGATAAAAAACTGATTTTCTTCCACAAAAAAATGAATATTATTAGTACTGTTTTATATAAAATCTCTGTGTACTAAAATATAATTTATAAAATAATGATAATAGTAGTAACTGTGTCTTATTAATAACATTTTGACTGTGGAATACCTTATCATTGTTTATTTGTTTCACCTGTTTGGGTATCTTGTAACAACTAACAACTGTTCACATCTCACTGTGGGGAATTTTTATATAATTTAATGATGTTCTGTCCAAAAGAGCCCCACGACGAGTGTTGTATTCGTGTTTAGATATATTTATCAAAAGTACTGATAAGTTATGTCTAACGATAATAATAGATGGCAGTTACTCCTAAAGTTTAGATTAAATATCAACCTCAGGATTGTTTCTCGAGCCACTAAAACTTTTGCCTGAATGTTTTGCTCTTTCCCAAGTTATAATATTCAATGTTTGTTTAAAGGTGGTTGACAATAATTCATGGTGAATTTCATTAGTTCGGACTTCCATTGTCTAATATCATATGATATGATTTGAAATCCCTGAAAGAACAAACAAGATTGAAAAAATGAATAACTGAAAACAACAATTATTTTAAGCAAACAAAACCTGAAATGAAATTACAATAAAACAAAAATTAAGCAAAAAATTGAACAATTAAAATGAATTAAAAATTAAAAGATTTCAATACAAGTTACTTCAGGACGTTTCGATTATTAGTATCCATGATAATCTTCTGGTGATGATGACTATTTTATAGGTGATGACTAACAATCGAAATGTCGTGAAGTAACTTGGCTAAAAATCTTTTAATTTTTATTTCATTTTAATTGTTCAATTTTTAGCTGAATTTTTCATTGTAATTTAATTTTAGGTGTATTTTGCTTAATATAATTGTTATTTTCAACTATTCATTTTTAAAATGTTGTTTGTTCTTACATGGGTTTCAAAGCATATCACATTAGACAATGGAAGTCTGAACTAAGAAATTCATCATAATATTCAAGCTAAGATGGAAGTAAACCATTACGTAGGCTTCAGGCCAGCTTCATCTGGGCTGGACTCCATTTGTCATATAGCATAAAATGCTTTGTTTAAATTTTGTAGAATTTCAGTCATCTATTTTAAAGTATCATGTGATGGAATTGGCCGATAAATAATGAACATCCATAACGTATTCAAGTAACAATTTATTGTTTCATTCCACAGAAGCTTCTTCAGAAGTATTCCTACTAACGACTAGTATGAACTAGCCTGAAGATATTGTATAGTGAAACAAGTGTTTCGATTATGTAAACTGTTCAATTATACTTCACAATAAAGTGATATTTGGAATTAATTGAGGATTAGTTTGCTTCTTCGGTACCAGGAGCTGAATTCATCGATAATGGTTTTCATGTTGGAAACATGTTGATCAACAGTCGAGTCTGATACTTTAATGGAGAATATTGTGGCATAACCTTTTGTTACACATTGATAAATGCCATCAACATATAACAAGAGTAAGGGTCCAATTTCAGATCCTTGTGGTACCCCAAGTTTCAGAATATAACAGTCAGAGAGTGAATTATTACAAAAGACAGTCAAAGTTCTCTTCAACATACAAGATTTGATCCAATGCATGATGTTATATAAAAAACTGTAATTTCCTATTTTGTTTGAAAAATTCCAGGCACACTGTATCGAATGCCTTCGATAGATCAACTAATAATGAAAGGATGTAGTTTTTACTGCGTGTAAATGTGATCAAGAAAATGGTAAGAAGTTATTTCAATAAATCTGTTTTTTACACAACCGTGCTGAGAAGTTGAAAATATGCTGTTACTTTCCAAATAACCATGCTATTATCTTTTTTATAAATTCATTTGAATTCCTTTATGTGTAAAGAAAATACAAGAACTCTTATGACTGGCATTTTCTAAAAAACCACATGCAGATGTTTTGATAGGGGAACTATTCGGCAGTTTTCAAACATAATGATCAATAGCTAGTATAGCTTATCTACTCTAAAAAAAAAAAAGAGAATTCTCACAACTTTTGCTTTACCTGGACCAAATCGAAATTTAGAAAGATCTTCCTACAGTTGACAAGCTGTACACTCGTTCATACCTACATTCATACACAAAATGCAGCTTATCAAAAGTAGAAAGAGTTTTCTAAATTTCGATTTGGTCCAGGGAATGTGAGAATTTTCCAATCTCTTCTTAGAGTTGACAAGCTTACATTTTTCACCCCTTTTACGAAAATCCATTTTTTCAATCTTCAATCCAAATTCATTTCAAATTTATCTTTAGACCAAACAATTGAAACGTCATTAGGTATATAAATAATGAAAGCCTTTCCTCTACTACCGAAATCATTGACAGTTCAAGATGAAGAAGTGGAGTAATGAAATATGTTCCGTTAAAATTTATTTTGAGATATCAGTACTTTTGAAAAATGTAGGATTGTATGAGTATACCTAGCGGTTCAGAAGTTATGCAAAAATCAAAAGTTGATCTATTCAACCTTCCCCATTTTCAATAAAAAACCAATTGATAAGTAGATTTCTTTATGAAAATGTTTCAAGAATGTATTTTTTCCTTATTGAATAATAATTTGACTATGTTCTTTTTGAAAATATAGGGTTGAGTAGGTAAATGCCTAGTGAAAAATGGAAATGAAACTTTCTATGTTTTTTTACCACTTTTAAAAAGTGAAAATTGGTAAAAAAATAGAACTTTCACATATAGTCAGTGGGCATACTTGAAGACTGGCTATAAATCAAATTATCTAAGAACAATTCGTTCAGGCCAGTCTCAACTCCCTACACAGTAGGTTAATGGACTGACACCTATCTGACAACTACTCCCCTGGCTAATACCACGAAGGGCGTTGGATTATATCCGACAGGTGTCAGTGCAGGATTCTTCACAGAAGTTATTCCTGCATATTCTGTTGGCGATACAACTGCCGCAATAGATTTTCAATTATTGGAACACACTTGCAAACCGGTTTCGGGCTGTTTGGCCACTCGTCAGTGCAAGGTAGTGTATATCATCAACATAAAGTCGATGATTTTCGATAATTGAAAATCGAATTCCGTCAGAGTATCATTCCTCGAACTAAGCTGTTACGTGTTAGGAATCACACGTTAAAACGTAAGACCTCGTTAGTCCTTAGCTCGCACAAGTTTCTCAACTTCTGAGAGTTGTCGTTCGTATGGGGGCGGCAGTTGATTAACGGAAAAACAGACAGAAACAGACAGATACAACAAACAACAGGTTTGTCGTCGCCCCATCTGCCTGTGAACGAGGTAACCAACTGCATATCCGAAATTTGCCCAATTCCTCGTATAAGGAAAGAAAACCTTCACATATAGTCAGTGGGCATACTTGAAGACTGGCTATAAATTAAATTATCTAAGAACAATTCGTTCAGGCCAGTCTCAACTTCCTACACAGTAGGTTAATGGACTGACACCTACCAAACAGCCCGAAACAGTTCTGCAAGTATGTTCCAATAATTGAAAATCTATTGCGGCAGTTGTATCGCCAACAGCATATGAAGGAATAACTTCTGTGAAGAATTATTATTATGCCCACTGACTATATGTGAAAGTATAGAGGGGGATGTTCTGTTGGCTTGGCCACAAACTGTGGCCACAGTTCTACTGTGGCCCACAGTAGAACTGTAGCTTGACGTTGGCATCGTGTAAGATTATAGCCAGCCTCTTCACAGAACTTTCGTAATTTTAATGCACTAATTAGTGACAGAAAATATTATTTAAAATTAGTTTTTATATATTTGAACAAGTTAAGAGGACTAGCTCATGCAGGACTCTGGTTATCAATTGCAGTTTGGCAATGGGCAAGAATGTAGAACTGGCGTGGGATCCACGCTATTTCTCATAATTAAACATTTTCTGTGTCCAAGGGGAGTGGAGCGACCCCTGGCTAGACCGCCACTGTATTATAATTATATAACCTAGCAATGTATCTTCCAATTGCCTGCTAGTAGTGAAAGCTGCAACCAATTAGAAAGTGAGTACTTATTCGGCAGATTATAGATGGAATACACGTTTTATCTTTGATATTTGCGGGCAGTTATCATCGTTATATCTTATTCAAGGACATAAGATACGAAACGTTGCACCCATGATCCGTCCTAGTACCACAATACTTATGACAGATCAAAACAGCTCTGTTTTCTATATTGGATCATGGATGCACTGATATTGGGTTCTGATATCGTGTTAATCATGTAGTCACAAAAAAACGTTTTTACAAATGCTTTTATTTCCCTTTGAAATTTGTATAAGGTGGAGGTAGTGTGTGCAAATGTTCATTCCTCTCCATAGCACAAGGTGGATTCATAAACTCTCCGTGATCTATGTAATTAGCAAGAAGTCTTTTCAAATCCACATTTTGCCTTCGCAAAACAACCACTTCCTCTGACAATGTCTTACGATCCTTCAATATTTCGTGGTAATTTTTCAGTCCTTCGAGTAATGCTTCCCAAACTCTAATTCGCTCTTCGTTGTAAACTGTTTTATATTTATCCCAATAAAGTCGAATATCTGCATCAGTTAGCAACCTCGAAATGGTATTTCTCTTTTTTTCCAGCCTCTCTCTGGTCGTGGGAATGGCCTTTCTGTGCGTATAGTATGCTGTTACAAAATCTCTCAACGCCATCAATATAAACACAGAACTAATTACCAGCGGATGGTTGTATTGACATAACACTTTGTCATCAGATGTTATCATTTTCTTTTTCGTGAACCGCTTTTCTTTCAGATCGCTGTAAAATTGATCTAAGACAATTCCTCCGCATACGTTGTCTAATGACTCTTGTTCCAAGTGCAGTCCTTCCGAATATATTTCCGAACTGACTAAGTCCATAACAACCTCTTCTATCACATTATCGGGCTGTTGTATAGCACTAAAAGCTTCTTCCAGTTCAATGATTTCGACATTACTCTGATTTTCATTTCGACTGATTACGGAAAAGTGGGACAATTGCGAGTTATATCTGGATAAGGTCGATTCGGTTCCCAAATCTTTATTATTGCAAACTGAACAAAAACAGTAAGGAATGAAATATTTTACCAGCATATCGATATCCTCTGGTCTGCGTATGTCAAGCGACATCAAGACATTGTCCAATCTAACCAGTGTTTTCTGATCATCTTCGTAAAACTTCAATAGCATTTTCAGCCTTTTTTCTGTTAAGAACCCACTCTTGTCCGACACGAGGGTTAGTATATATTTTAGTAACCTTCGGTAGATAGGATTGGCGTCCAACTGTTCTGGTTTTTGTTGAACTTTTTTAGTTTCAGAGTCGGAATGTTCCAGCCTTTTACTCATTTTGTGATCAACACTAGATTTATTGCTCATTGCACTTGTTTTTGAAACCACATTTAAAGCATCTTTGAAACTACTCAAGGTCGTCTTGTTTATTATACTGTGTGGCGGAGAAAGCCATTCGATTCCCATTTGCTGTTCGTAAAGAATTTTATCAGTCGCTAGAATTCGAGTTAGAATAGCTTGACATTTATTTTTGTTCATTTCCCACACCTGGTGGAACTTCTCATCATTAACTTTGGCAAAGTGATCTGCTTTAGCTTCTACTTCTAATATGCTCTTGTGGAGTTTCTTTATGTCGTCCGATAATTTCTTGACATGATTTTTCGCTGTTGTTTCGTAATCGGTTATTTTTTTCCTAAGATCGTTTTTTACATCCTGAAGTTTGTTAATCCTTCTTTTCTGTTGGGACTTGATTATGAGGTTTTCATCCTCTCTTTTCTTGAGGATTTGATAGTTATAATCTAATTTTTCGCTATTCAACAGTGCTAAAGCTTTGATCCTTTCTAATTCTTTTTGCAAATTCTCTATGTCATTTTCAAGTTTAATTTTAGTTTCTCTAAATTTCTCTTGAAAATCTACTCGAAGTCTGTACATGTTTTTGTTGAACTCCTCCAATTGTCCAAATTTCTTGTTGGAATTTTCAATTTCCTGTTGATCTCTCTTCTTATGAAGTTCCTCCCATTTTTTGTTATTCAAATCTATAAAATTTTGTCTCTCTGAAAGGATTACCTGCTCAATTAACTCAAACTCGTTTTGATAGGCCTTTCTCATGAACGTTATCTGTTTTTCTATTCGCTGAGCCAGAATATTGATATCTTCCGATTGTTTTTTCTGGTCTTTAGTAAACTTTATTTCCGCGTTCTTCAGTTCCTCTCTGAGCATAGCAATGATTTCGTCCTTTTGTTTAATTAGAAACTCACACTTTTCTTTTTGGTTGGCGATATCTTCGTTGATATGTAAAGGATCGTTGTATTTTTGAATCACAGACCATTTCACTGCAATTTCTTCGAAAGCCTGATGGGCTGCTGCTGCTTCAGCTTCCAGTTGAGCTATAATCTTTTCTCTTCCGATGCCTTCAACCTCCCTTCTATCCACCTCTCTGCTGTCATTAGCAACTCGAACGTTAGTGACATACTCCTCAGCTTCTTCGAGAAACTTTTCTAAAATTTCAGCACTTTTCTGGACTTGTAATTGGACGGCGGTTTTATTTCCTTCGTGCAAACTCTCCGATTCCTCCATACATGATTTCCGAATGACGTTCCATCTTCTTTCAATGCGCAATTTTCTGGCCAATTTCCTTTCATTTGCGTCGTCCGATGTCAATTGCGGTTCATCAGGTTGCAAATTTTCATATGTTGAGGGATCATCGTGAAATGATGTATGCATATTTTTCAAATGATATACTGGTAGTCACTTTGAGTATATAACCACTTCAAATGAATAATGAAATAGGAGACGATCAATAGCGTTGTTACAAATTCAAGTATAGTTGCTAATAGTTACGAATTGTACAGATCAGGGTCGAACTTTCCCAGTGGATACCTAACCTGGCGCTTCTCCCCACAGTTTTGAAAGAAAAAATTTCCCAAACGAAAAATAGATCAGAAACAGAATGAATGTAATGATTAATTATTGACACTGAGTAAACGAGGGTACAGTACCCAATGATTAAATGATCCAGTTAATCGATTACTGTTATGTTACGAGACTCATTAAAAAAGTGATCATAAATTATTAGAATATATTTCCAGTTTATACACCGTGATAACATATTTAACGTTCATTTCAAAATATCGTTACATCATAACACCAATCAATTAATCAAGTTCTTTATTGTCTGAAGATTTACAATTCTTATTGACAAGGATCTGTAAAGCAGATATTGAGATATTTAAGGAACATTATTTGTAGTATATAACTATACTCAAGTATTATTCGCGCCTGAAGAAATTATAATGTATAACGAAACACATGTTGCTGTTTTGTAAGCTGTTATATGAAAATCTCAAATGTGGTGTTACTTCAAGTGTCACAATTTAACATTTTGTCAAATATTGAATCTTTTGAAAATTTCTTGCAACGATCTATCGAAGTTACCAATTAACCAATTACAAATGACAAAAGTAATTTTTTTTGGAGGAAATCAGAGTTTTTATCGACCTTTCACCTTCCACAATCTGAAAAATATGAAAATTATAATAGAGAACTTTATACCAGGTATAGGAAAGGCACAATTTTTAGTTCGCCCCGATAAAGTTACTGCGTAAATTTGGTTTGAGCTCTCCCAGGAGAAGTCGTGACAGATGTTGTCAACGTTGAAAGTGAAATTCAGCACTTACCTGAGATATCGAAATCGAATATTCGGGAGGCTTGCAAGAAACAAATTTCTGATAACTTGTCCAGGAAGACTGATAATGTACAAAAGAAAGAAAAATTAACAAAAGATATCAGAGGATTTTTATTAATAGGTACCGACGTATTATCTTTACTCTCAGTTATCTATGTTGTAAAACGTTGTACCTTGAGACTACCGGTGGCCCACGGCGCCCCAGTAAAGGTTCCACGGCGCCCCAGGGCGCCGCGGCGCACACTTTGAGAAACACTGGGCTAACCATACAGTTTGAAACTCTCTCAATCTCATACTTGAGTTTAAGTGTTAATTCACATGATTTCATAGAGCAGGTTGAGGATATAGAGTTGATGTATCCTCGCTGCTTCAAAGTGTCCCTATACCAAAATCTATTGAATATTTGAGGGGTCTTGTGAGGGTCAATCGTCTCAGTGGGGAAGTAATCGAAGACTACATACAATTAACAAAAAACTTCATGTAACCGAGTTGCTTTCAGTTTAACAACTATTTCTACAGACCGCACGATGACAAGGCAATGGGAAGTCCACTTTCCACCTTCATAGCTAATCTGTTCATGAGCAGATATGGATCCGATATGCAGACAATGTATTTGGCGATTTTTGATACAAAGAAACCAAAGCTAGAAGACTTTGTTTCAACTCTTAACAACAGAACCCCAAATATTAAGTCTTCATATGGAGTTACTATTCTTAGGTGTCTTAATAAATTAGACGCCGCTTGACTTTCCGAGAATATTTCCATTGATTTGTGTATGAGGTTGGATTCTTCCTATCTTTCCGCACACAATTCAATAGCGTAAATTTCCGTTTGAAATACAGTAGCAATGTTGTAACTTCCAGTGTCAACCTGCACTCTGTTGCAATTGATTTGTGCAATTGGCAATATTCACAAGTCTATATTCAGTCCATCTAGCCTCTCTCTCAGAAAGATGTGGAGAGGAGGTAGATCCAGAAGGATCTCCATGGCCGCTGACGGTGTAGTACTAATGGCACCACGCATGGCCAGACAAGCCTGTCTCTGTAAGCCACAGATGAACTTCGCCTGAGACGTTTTCTGTAAAGCCTTCGGCCACCAGGCAATTGCTCCATACGTGATCATTGGTCTGACAATCATCACATAAATCCAATGGATTTATGGAATTCCAAATGGAATGACCTCACCATGAAGAGAAAGAGGCGTTAAATCGTCCAATTCTCTCATTTTGGTGAAATTATCACAGTTTTGTTGGGGTTGGCAGACACCAACTGTGAACAAAGTTCATCGTGCTTTGGAGGATATTACAAGCTATTCTTCCTCACGTGGACCAAGATGACAAGATCATCTGCATACGTTTGCAGATCTACTTTTCTTTTGTCGAGGGCATCAATCAGACTATCAATCACTAGCAACCACAGAAGGGGAGATAGTACTCCACCTTGAGGGCAGCCTTTGGTCATCCTGAACTTTAAGGGTCACCAGAGGCTTTGAAGAGTCGTAGTTGCAGTTTTGTTCACCAGCATGACATAGATCCTGCCAGTTATGGCCGATTTTATGTCTTTCCTAGCCAGGGATGATGCTATAGATTTGGGTAGTGTATTGTCAAAGGCTCCTTCAGTATCGAGAAATACAGCAATCACAATATGTTTCCTCTAACATCTCTTTCGAAAAATATGGAATTGTATATTCGTACTGCATATCGTACTGCTTATGTAACATGTACTTGGAATGTAGACTATTTCAGTTATATCAAATAAACCTTTGAACAGTTGAATTTTATAGGAATCGCCAAAAAATTAGAAATTCTATTATTGAAAAGGTGAATTTATAATGGAAATTTTCTATTTTTTCTCCTCGAAATTAAATTGTCTAGAAAGAAATGATAAATATGATTTACATTTTGGCTGAATGTGGCAGAAATTGTTTATTAGCCGTTAGAATTATGTATATTCAAATAATGTAAACTTTCACGGCCAGAGATGACTATGTGAAAGCTATTTTCCGGGTTTTCTGGGTGTGGTCTGCAGGTTTGTATGCCAACGTTTCGTCCACTACTGTGCTAGATATTATCAAGGGCGATATGTGTTAATGTTCGCAGTGCCCGATGCGGTAACAGTGCAGCGGTGCCCGATACTCCAGTTGTTGTTCCCGTCGTTTCGACCGCGTTACCTACGATGCTCGTATTTGACTCTGGTTTTGTTGTTATTATTAGTGGGCGTGACAGGTAGCCGAATTTCATTGATGTTCATTGACTTTTCTATTGAAATTATTTCTGTATTTTAGAACTCCTATTGCCTCTCTATATATACTCTTGGATAGTAATTTTGAGTTTCTTCGAGTATTACTGTATCTTCAAATGCGAGAGTAAGTTCGGCTACAGCTGATTTGTCGGTTTGTCCGAATCGACAATTTTTTCTGTATTCAGAGAGACCCACACTTCTCGTGGTTCCAATGTAGACTGACCCGCAGCTACAAGAAATCTGGTATTCTGCGGGTGTTGATAAAGATTCTCTGGGGTCCTCTGGTCCTTAGGCTTTGATAGTTTCCATTGGCCTAAATATTGGTTCCACGTAGTGTTTCTCTAAGATTCTTCCAATTCAGTCTGTAACATTTTTAACATACGGAATAAAAAAATGTTTCCTTGACCAGCCTAGCTGGGGTTACTTTCAAGGCATTTTTCATGTGACAGGAGGACTCTCAGGTTTACAAATACGTCGTGCTCTCTCAACCAACGTTTTAATTACCCTTCCCTTTTGTTGCGGCTGGTAGTTAGAGTTCCGGTAACTGTCTGTGTATGTTGGTTTCCTGTCCATTCTGTGGCCCAATGTACCATCTTGACGTCTGTTCACAAGAACGCCAAGTTGGCTAACCAAGAAGGTTAAAGTCCCTTGAGTTTCTCGTTCCATTGTGAATTGAATTTTTGGGTCGAGAGTTTGGACATAATAGAAATTTGTTTAGTATCTCTTCACCACCTTGCGATACCACGAACGTGTAATCAACATAGCGTAGCCAACAATATAGTTCCATGGCCGCTTGCTCTATAAGGTCTGTTGTTTCGAATTTTTTTTAAGAAGTTTGACACCGCCGGACTTAATGGACTGTCCATTGCGGTACTATATTTAAATTCGTAAAAAGCACAATCCCACTGGAAATGAGTTAATGATAAATAAAAAGCAAAGAGGGCGGTTATATTTGCTGGGAATACTTCGCTAATTAGCCGTATCGCGTCCTTGATCGGAACCATCGACCACGTCGAAGCTCACTAGTACGTCTTCAGGACATAACTTCATATCTCTACTCATTTCTATGAAGTGTCCAGAGTCCTGACTGTATTTCCTATAAATGGCTGCAGGCTTATGACCAGAATAGTCGATGCCGTTGCCACCAAAAACGGCTCTTTACGAAAGATAATAACCAAATGAATATCATGATAGAAGTAAAAACTGCCCGAGCCAAAATATTGATAATATTGAAAAAAGTGCGGTCTTCATTTCAGACAAATTACAGAGGCCGCATATATTTAAATTTCTTTTGTCAACAAAACTAAAAATAAATTAAGAACACGTTTGCAACCACGCAAATCACACAGAACTCGAATCACAGAGAACTCGATCACAGAATAGTAGATACTTTTCTGTGCTCAAACTTACCTGTCGTTATTCCTGCCAATGGGAAGAGTATATTTTTACCGTAGTCTGCAAATCCCATCCACATAAATAAAAGTCCTGCACATGTTAAACAGGTACCTGCTGTAGCAACAAGTCTGGGCCACGTGCTGTTTGAAATTAACGATCGTATAGACGGATCTGAAACAAAAAAGTCGTTATTTTTTGATATCTGGATTAGGTGAGAGTAATTTTATTTAGTAGTCTAGATTATGTTTAATTGCGGATCATATTACTTGAGAGAACATGGACAACAATAATTATAAAGATGAGGGGGTAAATATTAATTCGTGCTAATAATTTATGATGTATTAACTGTGAAAAAACTTTTGGTATTCTAGATGTTTAGATAGTATATTCAACCAAACTAACAAATTAAGTGTCCACTGCAATAATGAATGTCCTTTGTTTATTGTTCAGAGATAAATGGGTTTTGAGTTTATGAATGGTGAAAAAACTCTGAATCAGAGATAAGAAAATTTTTATTCCAGTTGAAAGACATAGTTTTTGGGAAAGAAAGTTTTTGGCTTTCTACTACTCCATCTTGATACAAAAAAATGTGGGAATCTTCCAACTATTCTCTACTCAGTTTGTATTCCAAACATTCGTTATTACTTCCTTCCTTTTGGAAGATTCCTACATTTTTGGATGTAGATGGAGTAGTAGAAAGCCAAATACTTTCTTTCCCAAAAATTAGTCACTCCTAAAAATATAACCCTTTCCATTTAAATGTATTATAGTTTTCCCTAAAGAATAATCTGAGGTAAATCTTAAAAATTAAGGACAATATTTGATGAATGTCCACAATGTGCTCACAATCAACATTGATAGTTGTCCTATTTGTTGAAGAAAATGAAGTTAGAATAGTTTTAATTAACATCTCTATCTCTAATTGCGATGGCAACAGTGAACTATGTAGTGAAACGTTCTGAAGGTGGGGTAATTTTTTTTTTGACTTTCACATGAGTCAGAAAAAATCCTTTCAGGGATTTCAAATCAATTTATTATTATTTATCATACTAGACAATGGAAGTCCCAACTAATGAAATGCACCATGAAACATTGTCAACCACCTGCAAACAAACCTGGCACTGTTCTTCTATTTCATTAAATAAGAAATAGAAGCGATGAGAGGTCACATCATCTGATCCTTTTCGTCCAATACTCTCATATGCAAAACAATATGATGAGAAATCAGCAAGCACATGTATATTAAACATAAAATAACTGAGCTGTCATTTATAATAAACATAGGAAGATTTTTTTAGAAATCCATTGCTATTGTAACTGTTGTTGCATCTTGCCTTGCTCTCGAACAAGCTTTCCTTTATTATCATAAAAAACTTCAGCTTTTTTTGTGAGCTAAGTTTTTGATTTCTAATTTTCGAAGTTGTGGTGAAATCTGAGATTTTTCATAATCATCAGGATGAAAATCAAATTTAATTTCAAAATGCTTTTTTTCTGCTTAGAATTTGTTGCAAATCAAAAATGTATCCATCCTGAAATACCCAAATATGATGAAGTTTGTATCAAAAAAGTTTCGATATGTTTTGTTTGATACCTGTGACGTTGAGCGTTCTAGCCACGTAGTCAAATATTAAAAATTGAAACTGTAATTGATATTGTTAAGTTTGTAAACGAGATTATTAACTGCATATTTCAAGTGACCAAATGAGGTTAGTAGTTTGAATTTTTAAATTTTTGTTCAGATCAATTTTATTTTTATCTACAAAACCAAATAGCTGGATAACCGATTAATTAATTACAACTTACCTATAACCTAGAACGCACATAGCAAGCAAGCAGTTCAGTTAAAATGAACCATTTGATTATTTAGCATTGGATTATTCTTCTTCATAATAGGATAATACTGATTGTTTGAATGTCTGGATTACCAAGGATTTTTAATTTGAATTTTCTCATCACTAAATGCAAGTAAGGGAATTTCCTCACCTTACCCTCATAATTGATTAATTAGTTGTTTTTAACTAATTATTTGGTGATATTTTTTGATTTTGTACGAAATATTTATAATGAATTGATTAAAGCTTTTAAACACCACATTTTCTATTTCAATATATTGTTGCTTTCTTTTTGACACTGGTCACTTGTATATAAAGAATTTTGTTAATGAATCATGTTCTTTTATACAATTACAATGAACTGGAGGTGCGTCAACTCGTCTTATCAACTTGAGTTATTTCAAGTTGGAGTTTTCTCACTCAAGTACGAGCTGGCGTTGGCACAGACGATTTTTGTTGAAATGTTAACAAAGCTGTTGACCGAATCTAGATTTGAGGTTATCATAAGTGATCGCCAGTGAGCTTCATCCTGCCGATTCAAGTTTATTAATTCTTTTATTTTTCAACGATTAATCCTCAATAGTATAAATATATTCTACACATTTGAGAAAGTCAATACTACTACTACCAACCTAATTTTAACAATGCCTATATCATAATATTTATGAAAACTAGAAAAATATAGATAATTTAGATATTCAATATTTCAACCTTGTTATTTACTTGTGCATGTTTTCAATCTATTCTTGAGAGATAATAAAGCTATATGTACATCTAAGTAAATCAATTGGAAATATTGATTTCAGAATAAAGTGTTGCGTAATTACAATTATATTTGAATTAAATAAATTTCAACTCCAGTAGAGTTCATCCCCAGTTGACACATTTCTACAGTCGACAATATATGTTGTTGAATTAATATTATTCATGAACAGGAAGTGTTTCAGTGATCCTTATACTAAAAAATATCGATAGTTACGCCAAGTTTTTTATATTTAAATTATACAGTGTGGAGCCTTGCATCAGTTTCTAGAAACATCATTTATTCTCTTCTAAATCCTGTATTTATCTTTGTTTTTCTAGTTATTCCATCTGATAATTGAATTTTTAGTTTTGTTGGATATAATATGAATCTCTTTACAGCTACCGGACTGAGTCATGGCCGGTGGGAGAAATCATATCTGCATAAAGTTTGGGTCGGTATATGACAAAGAAAGTATTAGGAAAAAAAGAATGGAAACTTTTGTTTGCAATTTTACATAGTACATAAATGGATATTTAAATGCCATTTGGGCTCTTGTAGCTATATAAAAGTCAAGCTCAGCGTCTATGACTCAGTCCGGCAGCTGTACATTTCGTTAATAGGTAATCTTTCAACTGAATTGCCCTTGGCATTGATAGGCATGAATAATGTTTGAGAATTAAATTTTTTGAATGATACTGTCATTTGAGAAAATGTATACATTATTTTCCCAAGCTTGAACTGCTCACTTATTTAAAAATATTTTTTAACGTTTTCCCGAATTAAATATGGAATTAACTATGGACCGTTTGATAAATATTTTCAAGTTTTCGATATGTACTTTGTTATAGTAATAATGTAAATGTCAGGAAAAGACTGATGTCTTCAACTTTATTTCGTTGTTGCAGTTGCACTTATTATTATAGTGGCCTCAAAAGGTTAATAGTTAATATTATTGGTTGTACTATAACTATTTTTTGAGTTATATGTCGATAACTTCCTGCACAATAACAGTTTTGGAGTTCAAACAGGAAATTTCGTTTTGTGGATAAAGTCAGTGACATATATAATCTGGTTTAATTTGCCTTCATATTGACAATATTACTGATTACCATGAATATAAAAAAATTCTGTTGGATTATAATCAGTTAAAATTAATCATAACTCTGAAAGTGATATTTCTTTTTCATGTTTTATTATTATGTAATGTTGGAAATGCATTTTTTTAAACAGCACTCAATTTATTATTTTATAAATGACAAGAGCGTAGAAGATAAACCACAGAAAAGTATGTTTCAAGAAATTTTAATTCATAACTTCAACTTTGACTGGAATTATGTATTGTGCTAAAGTTAACTTATATTATCGAAGTTATACAAACTATATCCATCAAACAAACAAAGTAATCCAAACAAAGATAGATGCGTGATCAAAGCATGATCACCACGCACATTTGCATCTATTGGATGAAATAAACAATCCTCCTTACGCTGGCCAATCAGATTTAACTGCAATCGGTTGGCAGAATTCACGTTACAGTGTCGAAGTGGTCAGTTATGTTTTAACACCTGTGGTGTGTACATATACGGTATTTTAAAGTTAAAAATTTTTAAAACGTCAAGTTCTGAAACGGCTGAAGAAACTGTTAATTCGTGTCCCTACACTCCGCCTAAAAAGTTTTCCTATACCCAGCCGCATATTAAAAAATCGGTCGTTCCTTAGTGCGACTCTGTACAAGCAGCCTTGTCTGGGAAATCACATACACTATGAATGATGATGTTTTAGGGCACTCTGTTGCTTAGAAGGACGGAGTATGGCAAATCATGTCCTCTCATTGTTTGAAAATAATACGAATAAAATGATCCCTAATACTCCGTTAAGCAGCGACAACTGGTTATCGGAAAAACAGAAATAGAGATTCTTGTGAAGTTCAAAATATTTTGTTGAACAAGTTTGGCTGAAATAGATGTTCCTTGTTATACTTACACTTCTGTTGTCCTACAGGTCATCCAACAAGCAAAAGTTTTATCTTTATGTTGTACTTTTGACAGTTTATTATTTAGAATATTGCAATCTGTTAAAATCTGTTTTTCCGCTAACCATTTGTTGTCCCCCTGCCAATAAAATCCCTCAAAAGTAGAAACTTGTGCGAGCTAAAGTTTGACAAGGTCTCATTTTTTTACGTGAGGTTCCTAGCACGGGAGAAATGAATCGATATTTCATATTTAAGTTATAACAAAGTTTTAAATGAAGTTATAATAGAAAATGTGGTAGATGGAATATATGGTGAACACATCCTGAAAAAAGTTATTTGCTCATGAAACTGCAACCAGGTTCTTTTCAGACTCCGATTTCACATTTATATTCCCTTTTAAAAATAATTCTCCGTTATCTTCTGCATATTTGCTGAATTTAGTAAGTATATAATCTTTCAAACTATATTCATATAGTATGCATATTCTGTGGCTATTCATAATGATTGTCCAAATTATTCATCTGCATCTGCGTTGTTGCATTATTGCAACATGTGTTGAAGTATTGAATAACCCCTGCCTTGGGATTTTCTTACATACATCAGCACTTATCTATAATTTCTTCGAATAAACACAATGAACACATAACGATTAAGCATACTCAGAACCCCTTTGAATTTTATCTGAAATAATCTTCTTCAAGACTCTGAATTTCACGATTAAATGTATATATTTCATTAACATCAAAGTGGCTAAGTCAATTTTAAATAAATGTTATTTGTGATTGGTAGTTTGTGAAAGAACAAAGTTGAAACCTCAGTTTAGAGAAATCAAAGTAAACCTTAATTCATTGACGTGAAAGTGATAAAGAAAGGAAAAACCAAATTTGAAAAGCATGAGACATATTAGCTGAAATTGAAATATGTTTTCTGTTTTTCCGTTAACCAGCTGTCGCCCCTCTACGAACGACAACTCTCAAAAGTTGAAACTTGTTCGAGCTAAGTATTAACGAGGTTTTACGTTTTAACGTGTAATTCCTAACGCTTAAAGAATTAATAATGCGGATCAGAAACGTTAAACAAATATTAAATAAAAATACATCGAAAATATGAAAAAGAAAAAGCAATGAAAGACAAGTTATTCACTAGGTTTCGATAGTTGGTATTGCTGATAATAGTCTTCTAGTGATAGTGATAGGATTTTTGATTTTTTGGAAAACATAGTTTGCCTTCAAATTAAATAAAGGATTCTCAAGTTTTTAATTTATAGGTTGGCTGGCTGTATTTTTTTTTATCTCAATATAATGAAGATCATATTGTTATTGTTGGTCTGCAGGACCAAGGGCATTGTTTGTTATTGAGACTTCAATTTTCTTAGAAAATTATGTTTACTGTTTGGATAGAGCCTCCGCTTGGAAAATTTTTAGTTAACTACTTGGATGAAACTTTCTTGAAAACTTACCAGTTTAGTATGAGATTGAACCAGATACAGATCAATAAGTATTTGATCTTGGTTCATCAGAAACTTTCAAATTCACTTAGATTTGAATATAGTATTTGAACTGCTTGGTTGGTTATTTTCATCATTATCTGGTAATTCAAAATCTTTATCCAGGATTTCTTGAAGTTCTTCCTCGAAATCTGGCTGGGCTCTTCCTTCAGCAGGTCAAGATTGATAAAGAATAACCAATACATTTATGCTGGATACATTGAAAGTTTTGAAAACAATTTTCTAATTCATTTACTTCTACAACTGATGATCATTACGTTTAACTGATGCGATTATGGATGAACTTTGTTGTACAGGTTTTCTTCATTCTTAAAATTTTCATTATTTTATGACACAGATTAGATTTTATCAAATTGTTATTCTTGGTCCGATTAGTTTCCCAGATTTCTTCAACATTGTGATACTGATAAAAAAACACATCTATGACATGTGCCGTTATCGGTACCATGGTTGTTCCGTACATAGTAGAATACTTCAGTCTTCATCAGCTGCTCAAAATTTGAGTAATTCCTACTACTCAGATTATTGTCATTTTGACTTTTTTATTTGCAATAATATCATAGTTATTGCTCCGAACAAAGTATTTGTATCAATATGTTTCCTATTATTACCAAGTATAGTTTTGAAGTGACATCTGCAGTATTTCAAATCTTTGATTTGACCACCAGGTTGTGAAGTAAAGAGTCAAAGAGAGAATAGTAGACAAGCATGAATAATACTAAAGAATGTAATGGAATTTCATAACAAGCTCCTACTCCTCAACTTAACAGAACATCAGGAGGAGACAACAGAGAATACTCAGGCACATGAAATAGATAGATAGAAATAGATAGAGATAGATATAAATAGATTGTTTGTAGTAATCAATCCATAATGATCTATTTGGAAATGTTTTTCAGTGATAAAAGAACAAAAAATGCTACAAAAAAGATTATAATCATAAGGAAATTATATAGTCAAACTCTGTGCTCTACTAAAAAAACCGAAAAAACACAACTGAATCGGTACGTACCAAAATTCTTCTCTTGAAGAAAAAACAAAAATGAATCGGTCCGTAACAAAATACTTCTCAATAAACATTACAAATTCATACCACTCGAGATGCAAGTAATGGTGGTGTTATATGATACAATTAAAAATTTTCCTCCCTGCATTCCTTATCAGTTATTTACACGCGTGGCGATATCATTTACGTACTTTTGAAAGATTTGAAAATATTTTCTTCCAAATATGGAAGTGAGATAAGCCGTTTCCGACATATAATCAGTTTTAATTGGGATTAGGTCTTACTTCTGATAACAAATCTTTATTTTCATTTATAAAAAATTTAAACTGCGGTTTTGAGAAACCTAGTAATGAAAGTAATGTTTTGATAATTCACGTACATTTGGGACAATGAAAGAATAAACCTGTATCATCAATTTGTGCATCCAAGTTGATAAAACTAAAGAAATCGAAGCGATGCTCCAAACAATCTAAACATAAACTCTGGCTGATTAAACGCAAACGTTAACTGTTTCGTTTTTCAATAAATTGATGAATATTTAATGTATAAGTTTGAAAATGTCCTTACAGGACGAAACTGCAGTAACGTTAGTTACAAATGAAAGTGGTAAAAAACATAAAAAGGTTCAATTCTCTTTTCTTCATCATATTTCGTTTTTTCTTTCTTCGGATCAAAAACAATTTCGTATTTTAATTTTACACTGTTTCTTGATGGGAAAAATACCGTTCAAGCGAAGTCCAAATGAGGCAGTAACACCAGAAAACCGTTCTGAATGACGAAAAGTGAAGTTGCATCAGTTAGTTAACATTGTAAAGATATCAAAAGAAGTTGGCTTTATATTGCATGAGCATTTGACTATGAAAAAGCTCTGTTCAAAGTGGATTCCGCGAGAGCTCACTGTTGACCAAAAACAAGAACGTCTTGATGATTCTGAGCAGTGTTTGGCCACGTTTAAACATAACAAATCGGAATATTTGCGTCGATTTGTGACAATGGATGAAACTTGGACCCATCACTTACCCCGGAATTAAAACGATCATCATCTGAGTGGAGAGCAACTGGTGAACCCCGTTCCAAGCGCCCGGGAGCGCAACAATCGTTTGGAAAGGTTATGTCCTCGGTATTTTGGGATGTGCGTGGTCTAATATCCGTCTACTATTTCGAGAAGGGACATATCGTCAAGAGTAAATATATAGCGTTATTGGAGCGTTTGAAGGCCGTCATTGTAAAGAAACGACCGCATATGGTGAGAAAAAAATTTTGTTTCATCAAGACCTCAAAGTGTCACAAGTCAGTCAAAACAATGGCAAAACTACANGTTTTCGCTACATATTTTTCAAATTCAGTCACAATTATATTTGAATATTTAATTCCATTGGTTCGATTTGATTAGGACAAAGACTGATTGAAATTGTGAGAATGATGAATAACTAGGCCTCGAGTCACATATAATTCAAGAAAAATTACACCTAGATGTTAATTTCATAGCTATTAAGTTTTATCGCTGTTGGGAAGGAGCGTTTTATCGCTGAAAAACTTTGTTTTGGTAGCCTAGCGTACAACTTTTTCATTATTTTATCTGTTTCAAGGAAATAATTACTGAAACAATAAACTAACCCATGCTTATGATAAGTTTTTTTTCGTATTCTAATTTTTCACGCATGCATGCAATCAACAGGCCTTTGAAAATTTTTGCCGGGAACAAGTAATGCATGATAAAAGCATTCATATTTAATTAGAGGTTTCAATAACTTTATCGTATAGTGAAATTTAAATATTGAAACTAGCCAGCATAGGGGTGGTTCTCCGAGGGGGTTAAAATGCCCTCTCCCTTCCATAGGCGCGGATCTTTAAGTATCTTTTGCTTTTTTAAAGGATAAAACCCACGCACTCTCGGAAAATTCTTGAGGCTCTCTCCAGCGAAAATAGCGATTCACATTGGATTTGAAATTTATTCCACATAAATGCAGTTCTTCAAATGAAAGAGTTGTTAAACAGTGAAGTCCGAGGGGTACTGAGTTGAACTTCAAAACGATGAGCAGCCACAGTCCGTCGCGTATTTCTGATATGTACCGCTCTTGGTGGAATCAAATATGAAAGTATCTATAGAAGAGACACAAATCCCCAACATTTCTTCGATGTTCCAGATTATCAAGGTTGCAAGAGATGTCTCCAATCAAACGAATTGCTTTTTTCTGGATGGAATTCAGCAGCTTCAGGGTATTTTTAGGGGCGGAGCTCCATACATGAGAACAATACTCCAAAGAAGGTCTAATCTGATCATTATAAAGCATCAAAAGTTTCTGAGATGTGTACAGTTCGGAACCAGTTCGGAACTGTACAGTTCGGAACCAAGCTTTTGAGAAGCGGCCTTTGCAGTTCCAATTAAATGTCGCCTTGATGTAATGTATGCATTAGACCATTTGTTTACGAAATAAAGACGCGAAAGAGATAAAAATTTGCATTATAGGTTTGTCCTGGTTCTACGAAATTCTGGTTCTAGGACGTCAGGATCATGCGCAGTTGATATAGAGCGTTCTGGTTTATTGAGGATAATTTGGNACCATCGAACATTTATAATAAAGTCATGTATTTATTACTGGATTACTTTTCCATTGAGATTTATTCCTGTTAGACATTAAATTTTTTTTTAATGTTTCGTGATTTTAAAATAAAATATCTTACCTGCTAACGTCCACGCACAAGTGAAAAATAAGGGAACGTAAATGAAATTGTCATCCCATAATTTTGGATCTCTATCATCTTTGGTCAAATTGGGCAGTCTTGAAAATATCAGGAATATGCCAAAACTCACTGTTATACTCGGGATCAGAGCCTAAAAAACACGTTTCAATAAGAAAATTGAACAGTTCATGAAGTATTGAAAGCTACGATATCGGAGTATTATAAGGTATTCTGAATTATAAATAAGATCAGTTCGTTTTCATAAACATGTTGTCCAAAGTTTTTTAGCAGCGGTAGCCGGTCGGTCTGACACGATGTGGGTGCTTTGTTCACTCACTCAAATCGACCGCCGTGTTGGTCGGTGGTTCAAGCCCCTGGCTGAACGATCGATTTTCACTTGCTATCGTCCAACTCGTGTTAGAAATCACACGTTAAAAGGTAAGACCTCATTAGTCCTTAGCTCGCACAAGTTTCGACTTTTGAGTGTTGTCGTACGTAGGGGTACGACAGCTGGTTAACGGAAAACCTGATTTTAAACAGATTTAAACACCAAATCGTTATTTTTAACACTTCGACACGTGTTTCGATCACCAAGTGATCATCTTCAAGAGAAAGATTAAAACGATGTTGGGAAAAACTCCAGTGATATTCATTACTACACCAAAGGTTCCAAACAGTGCATCATAAGATTTAAAAAAACAGCTTTTTTGTTATTTCGAAAGTAACTGTTAAACATGAGGAAAAATTGAATTGAAACTAGATATATTTACTTATTCTAAGAAACTTGTCTTTTATAATTTTTTTCTGAAAGTCGATACTTATTTGCGAGTGAGAATTAAAGAATAACTCAAAAAATTATGTTATCGAAAACAAGTATTTCTAGTAAAAAACAAAAACAAAAAGAATTATGGGTTTATGGTGTCAATAGACCCAATGCAAAAGGAGTACTTGAAAAATTGCTTTTGAAGGTTGTTTTTATTCGTCAAGCGCCAAGATTGAAAGTTTTAACGTGGAAACAATTTAATTTTCAGGAGAAACTCATAGACCCTTTTGTGTGCTTAAAAAAATTCATTTTTGTTTTTATTTTTTTATTTGTTTTAGTGAAAGTTTCTATAATTAAACTAAAGCGAGTTATGGAAAAATGTGAAAAGATAATTTTTGTAATTTAATGATACGCAAAACACAGCTTTTGTCAATGATCCAATATTATATCAATAATGGTTCTTGAATCAATTTGAAGAAATACTTTTTTCACATCAATTTTTCTCAAAACTGAGCACTGTAAACGGGTCAAACTTTTAGAATGGTTGTTAACGATTTCTTCGTCTATAGAATCGTCCCATCCAATTCAGGTATTCGAAACGTCCTTGTACGGTGAAATTAATCAAAAATTACCTTTACTATTCTTAGCATGTCTTTTTGTGGGTCGTTCGTTATTACTCCCTTAAAAAAATTGACTCTGGAGGCGAGATGGTTTTGTGACAAATTCCAATACATTTTTTAAGAATCTGTTTTCAGTATAACTGTAACACAACACAACAAAAAAATATTTTTTGAATGTTTCCTACACTAAATTAGTCAATTTCTACTAATTTTGGGGTGATAAAAACGAAAATAACAATGAAAAATTTTTATTAGCTCTGGTTTTTGAGATACACAGTACTTAATCTTAAAGAGTAGTTATACTATACGTGAAAAGTGAAGGTACATAAAACAATATTGTTATGTTTCTTTTAGAATATTT